CATAAGGGTCTAAAAGTAATTTTTGGCACACATTGATAAATATAAATAATAAAAATAATAATAATAAAAGCTTGACATAATTGACAATAATAACAAAAACAACACCAATCAAACTGAGGGAACCAGAAATGGGCATAAACCATCTTACTAAGGACGAAAAAATGCGCACCTGGATGGGTAAACCTCTGCACGGGCGACATCCCAATAAGGTCAGTTAAGACCATGTCGACAGTATAGCGTCGAACTATTGGCTGACATCAGAAAAGATGTTCCCTGAAACAGAAGATTCACTAGTGGCCATTCAGGATCACGTTATACTAACCAAAAATTACCTAAAATATATCGTCAAATCGGGTAGCGGGTAAGATCGGGTAGCGGGTAGGAACTCTTTAAACTTTTGAAGATAGTCCTATCAGGGAAAATGAATCAATCCCTGCCCTCCGCAGATTCCGGGGGTTTCCTGACCCGGGAAACTAGTACCTGTTTAGGGTCCCTTGTCCAGGGTTACGGATGCAGTCCACAACGGCAAACACGGCGGAGAAGCGGAGCTTCGGTACGGTGTGGATGGCGGAAGTGGCAACCCTCGATTTTAGGGTTGATATAGAACTCCTTTTACTGGCCAACGGTTGCGGGCAGACGAGCTGGTAAGAGACAAAGGCACTCTTTTGCCCTGAGACTGAGAAATCGATCTTGAAGGCGGACGAGCCGAGAAAACGGCCAACGGCGTAAGAATGCAGAAGGCAACGGGAAACCACTGCATTAAAGACTCTTGGAGTATCCCTAGAAATCGTCATGGCTAATAAAAATGACAATCAACAACCTACTAATCATGGTTCTCGGATGCCAAGATTCGGCAGGGGAAGAAACAGCAGTAACGACAGGGCTTCCCAGGCCGTTAGTCAGCGAAATCCCTGTTCACTAAATATATACAAATCCACTTACAAAATAGCTACATGGAATGTAAGAAGTATGTATGAACCTGGGAAACTAAGAAATATACAGCAAGAGATGATGCGACTAGAGATCGATATATTAGGAATAAGAGATACAAGATGGGTCGGCTCTGGCGAAATCAATACAGACAATGGACGAATTTATTACTCTGGAAGCAGCGACACCCAACACAGATATGGAGTTGCTATGATCCTCACTGAAAAAAATAGAGATCAGTAACAGGCTTCGTTCCGATATCTGAAAGAATTATAATGGTGCAATTATTGACAACCCATGGAAAAATGAATTTAATTCAGATTTATGCACCAACTGCTGACAAAAATGAAGAAGAAATAGAAAACTTGTATAGCGAACTTCAAAAAACATTACATCTCACAGCATCTAGAGACGTAACAGTGATCATGGGTGATTTCAACGCAAAAATTGGCGAGGGAAAATGCTACCCTAATGTAGGACCATATGGGCTTGGTGAACGAAACGACAGAGGGGATCGCCTAATAGAATTTTGCCAGGAGCACAATGTTATAGCCGCAAATACATTCTTTAAATTACCTAAGCGACGCCTTTATACATGGAAATCGCCAGCTGACAAAGACAACAAAATCGTCAGAAATCAAATTGATTACTTCCTAATAAAACACAGATATCGAAACTCAATTCAGGCAGTAAAGGCATATCCAGGAGCGGACGTATCTTCTGATCATAGTCTTCTTATTGCTAGATTTCAACTTCAACTAAAAAAGACACAAAAAAGCCGCAATAACAATAAACTTAACATACAGAAACTAAAGTCAGAAGAAACAAAAGAAAATCTGAAACACGAAATCAACACAAATCTAGACAGAAACCCAGGAAATAACTGCAACGTAGAGCAGCAGTGGCAATTCTTCAAAACCTCTATATTGGAGCCAAGTAAGAAACTACTTACAACAACCAAATATAAGAAAGAAGAATGGATGACAGAGGAAATTCTAGAGTTGATGAATGAAAGGAGAAAAAACAAAACCATCAATAAGACGCGCTATAAACAGCTTCAAAACCAAATAAGAAGAAAAATTAGGGAGGCTAAAGAGACCTACTTCTCTGAAAAATGTAAGGAAATAGAAGAACTTCAAAACAGATATGACAACTTCAACCTACATAAAAAAGTCAAAGAATTAGCCGGAGTAGGAAATAGAAGAACCTCAAATATATTGCTCGACAAAAATGGAAATATTATATTGGAAACAGAACAAAAACTACGACGATGGAAAGAGTACATCGAAGAATTATTTCATGGCCAGAGAGAAGCTAGTACATCTGTAGATAGCCAAACGGGAGATGTAGGTCCAGAGATAACCAAATCAGAGGTTAGTCAGGCATTAAACTCAATGAAAACCAATAAATCTGCTGGTCCAGATGAATTACCAAGCGAGCTACTAAAGTTGGTCAACGAGAAAAACTGGACATAATAGTAGAACTGTTCAACGCTATCTATACTACGGGAATCATTCCTAGAGAAATGTTGACATCATCATTTGTGTGTTTGCCAAAGAAAGTGAATGCCAAAGAGTGTAGTGACTATCGAACCATAAGCTTAATGTCACATACCTTGAAAATTCTCTTGAAAATTATCCACGCCAGAATACACTCTAAACTGGAGCTGGATATTAGTGACACTCAATATGGGTTCCGCAATGGTATGGGTACCAGAGAGGCATTATTCTCCTTCAATGTGCTGACACAGAGATGTTTGGATGTTAACCGTCCTCTTTACGTCTGTTTTATAGACTACAATAAAGCGTTTGATAAAGTAAAACATGATCGACTCCTGGAAATTCTAAAAAATAAAAACCTAGATGAAAGAGATTTAAGGCTAATAACACACCTCTATTACAATCAGCGAGCAATAGTAAGAATCGAAAAAGAAACATCTGAAGAAATGGAAATAAAGAGAGGAGTCAGGCAAGGCTGCATTCTATCACCTCTATTATTTAACGCCTATTCTGAAGAGGTTATTCGAGAAACTCTGGAAGATGAAACAGTCGGCATAAGAGTAAATGGAGTCTTAATTAACAACATCAGATATGCAGATGATACAGTAATAATAGCCGATAGTTTACAAGACCTGGAAAGACTCATGAGCAAAATAGTCATGTGTAGTAGGGAGTACGGACTCTCTCTTAATGTCAAAAAGACGAAGTTTATGAAAATTTGTAAAAACAACTATAATACTAACGAAATCTTGATAGTAGAGGGCCAGCAGATCGAAAGAGTAAAAAAGTACACTTATCTAGGAACACTTATAACAGAAAATAATGACTACACGGCAGAAATCAAAGTCAGAATCGAAAAAGCACGTTCTAATTTTATAAAAATGAAAAAGGTCCTATGTGGCAAAGATCTAACATTAGCTCTTAAAGTACGCCTAACAAAATATTACGTATACAGTGTACTATATTACGGAGTGGAATCATGAACGTTAAATCTAGATACCATGAGACGACTTAACGCCTTTGAAATGTGGACCTATAGAAGAATTATGAGGGTTTCCTGGGTAGATAGAGTTACAAACAATGAAATACTGAGAAGAATAGGCAAAGAGAAGGAAATTGAACTTACAATTAAAGAAAGAAAGCTACAGTATCTAGGACATGTGATGCGGGGCGATAAGTATGGCACCCTGCGACTCATAATGCAAGGAAAAATAGATGGCAGAAGAAGCATCGGAAGAAGACGAATTTCATGGCTAAAGAACCTGAGAGAATGGTTTGGATGCAGCTCAAAACAACTATTTAGAGCTACTGCCTCAAAAATTAAGATAGCTATGATGATTGCCAACCTCCGTAGCGGAGATGGCACCTGAAGAAGAAGAAGATATCGTCAAAGACCCTCAGGTCCAAAATCACAAATGCCGATATGGATGTTAAGCTCGGGAAACCATCCAACATCTTACCGTGGGCTGTCAGGCATTTGATGCATTTGAATATAAGGAACGGTACGACTTAGTAGGGAAGATCCTTCATCAAGAGGTAGCTATCAAATGGGGACTTCTTCAAACAGAACGAAAAAATCGCCAAGTACAGGGATCTGGAAATTCAAATACGAAGAGAGTGGGGAATGGAAAGTATCCAGACAATACCTATTATTCTCTCTACTACTGGAATTATTCCAAAGCACCTCCTAGAAAACATAAAAAAGCTAGGTCTGAATGAACATTTGTACAAGACCATGCAGAAAGCTATACTACTCTCAACGTCCAGATGTGTACGAAAATGTTTGGGAGATACTCCAGCATCCCAAGTCATCTAAGTCTCGATAACACGGAAAAAGTCCCACCATAACTCAATTCTTTTGATACCGTAGGTATCTGGGATGAGTGAATTTTCCCTAGAGGGAGTGTGAGCCGTATGGCTAAATCTGAATAATAAAAACTTGATGATATAAGAATTTTTGAAAAGATGAAGTTTGATTCCTTTATTTATCTGCTAATTTAAATCAATTAAAAAAAATTTAACACATGGGGAATATAAACTGATAATAAACCACAGAGCAAAGGTCACAATATCCTAGAGGTACCGTCTAGTCTAAAGAACAATAGTTGGTGAAAAGAGTATATTACCTGAGGGATTGATTTTATACCTCAAGGTCAGTGGCACAAAAATGGCTAGCTGCTACATTAAGACTTTCTACAATAAAGGGATGAAATGTCAGTTGTGTCAAGAACATGCGTAGTGAAATCAAAATTGTAATCGAACTCCATTCAGCAACCATTCTTAATATTGTCCATGGGCTCATGATGGATGAAGAAGATTTTGCCAAAAATGTACTCCAAAACAAGAAATTTAATTTTGTCTAAAACGTAGGTGTTTCTTAAAAATAACATGAATGTTGTGAACCACATCCATAATGGTATAACAATTGTTATCAAAATTTTGAGAAGAGTTTAGATGAGCTACAATTTGTTAAGCAAATATATTCCAGAGATAACGTTTGTTATAAAAGTTTTATTTTCTGTCAATTTTTGTGGGTAAATATGACAAAAATCTAATAATGGTTTTTTTTAGGGACGCTACCCTCGATGTTTTAAGTGATGGTCATACGGCGGCTCCTCTAATCAGGATAGGATATTTACACAGCTTGAAAGGAGGAACGACTTTTTTCTTCCATTTTCAGCATCACAATGGGGAGAGAGATGTTCCTATGGTAAGTGGAAATCAAACAGTGCTATATTTCTGTGTTTATTTACTTTGTTAAAATTGTTTATTTCAAGTATGAACAAGTTTGGAAGAGACTGATAAATTATGTCAAATTAAGGTTACAGCGCTCGATGTATAGTTCTTATTTATTCTTATTAGTATTAAAAAAAGTATTACAGTAACAGAGTATTTGGAATGTTTCTTATTTAAAGATAAAAACGAAATGATGTACGGAACTGAATGTTTGGCGGCTGAATACAAAGGAATAACGAATGCATATGGTGAAAATAAGAATGCTTCGATGGTTGAATGGAGTGTCAAAGAAACGTACAGAGTATGATAAGTTACCGACTAACATCATTTAATTTGTATATTCAATACGTTTTATTGTTACAGAGATTTGGGAGTGTAAGAGGAGACGACCTTCCGTATGCCTTGGGCTTCCCCTTGACTGGTGCTGGATTCTATTCTCCTTACAACTATACTTTCAGTGATGCTGCCATATCAAAAGCTCTGATATACTATATTAGTAATTTCGTCAAAACTGGGTGAGTTATTTTTCATTTAGTAATTGAGACTATTTTTTCTTAATTGGTAATATTGAATAAATAAAAAAAAAAGGATAAATAAATAAAAAATGAATAAATAACGATCTTCTTCTTCAAGTGCCATCTTCGTTCCGAAGGTTGGCGATCATCAGGGCTATACGTATTTTCGAAACTGCTGACCGAAACAATTCGTTGTTGCTACAGCTATACCATTCCCGTAGATTCTTTAGCCAGGAGTTTCGTCTTCTTCCTATGGATCTTTTTCCTGCTATTTTCCCTTGCATAATTATTCGAAGCAGTTGGATTTATAGAGTTTGATCTTTGAACTTCTTGTAAGATATTTTGATTTTATGAGCTTATCCAGTGCAAATAGGCAGCGGTTTGCAGATTGGATTCTGTCTTTTATTTTTTCAGTGACATCGTTGTCAGCTAGGATTACGACCCCCAGATACTTAAAACGTTGTACTCTTTCGAAATTGAATGTGTTGACCGTCACATTTTGTCCTATTCTGTCTCGTCGTGTCGTTCTATTTATACACATATATTTCGTCTTCTCTTCATTAATCTTTAGCCCTACTTCACTTGTTGCTCCTTTCACCTTGTTGAAAATGTCTTTCGTGGATAGGATGGAGTATCCAACGAGATCTATGTCATCTGCATATGCGAGTAACAGCTTGGGACCTTGAACCGACAGCAATTCTGTTTTTAAGTCCACTGTTGATTTTAAAGCTGCCAGACAGTTTATTATTTACACGTACTTTAGATATTTCATCCTCCATACAGACTTTGGTCATCCGAATAAGTTTCTTTGGTATTGAGAACTCCGCCATGGCATTTCATACTTGGCTTCTTTCTACGCTATCATAATGCTTGTTGAAAGTCTATGAAAAGATTGTGTATGGGTCTGTTGTACTCCCATCCCTTTTCTAGAAGTTGTCTCGCAACTTCTAGAATGGAACGCATCCATTTATAATCTACTTTTTTGTGATTGTTTCAAAACGTAATCTTCGAACGTCAGAAGTTTGCAGACCAAAAAATCTCCTATCCATTTCTACACAATAATCAACCAAAATCCGTTTCAATATCTAGGCAATACTAGTTGATGTCTTAAATTTGTTTGCGCAAGTTCTTTAGGTGACTTAATTTTATGTTTTATATAGTCTTCTGACGTGCTCTTAGGGCCCCAACAGGTTTTTCCTTGTTTTTCCACTTATTTTACTTGTGTTTTGTTTTGATGGCATTTTATTTTTAAAATTAAAAATAAATGTAAGATAAATAGTAAAATGAGCAAGTGTAGTAAGTAGTAAGTACGTACAAGGAAAATATAAAACTTTCCATTTTAAATACATCAAAATGTATGCAATTGTTAACAAGGCATATAAGTAGTTATTGAAAGTAAGTGTTAAATTAACAAATATAATAAAAAAATTAGATGAATTAAAAAATCGATTTAAAATTGTTCAATCACTAATTGAGTAAATAACAACACAAACTGAATAATGGAGCTACAAATGAAGATCCAAAATGTATTTCTTTAATTCAATAAGGCTCTTCAATAAAACTGTTTATAAAGCTATGTTTCCCTGAACATTTAGTTCTTAAAGTTAGTATGGATATAGGACAAATAATTTTACTAATCTGTAAATAAAATTACTTAAAGATTGGTTATATTTTGTCACTCCTTATTTGTATTGATTGCATTTTAATATTTTTTACACAACCTATAAAATCTTACAAACTTTTGTTTTACAGAAACCCCAATGGAGAACTGCCAAACATTTCAGTGAACCTTAATTCTTTAACGGAAAAACAAACTCCGAATTTTCCTTTTTGGGATACGTACGATACAATCAATCAGTTTTACTTGGAAATTGGTAAGAACTTTCAGCTTTAAATTCTAAGACTATAGATTTAAACTTGGATTTCTTTTGTTTTTAAATGGAATATTTACGACTGACACTACACAACGTGCCAAATTTAAGTTCAGAAACTGTGTGATTTGTTCTAGATTTATTATTATTTGTAGTGTTGGTTGCTTAAAAAATTACACCAAAGTTACGACGTTTAAGAAATACTTTTGTATCTTTCAGATTGGAACAGTGTTTTTTTTTTATTTTTGAATGAAATTTTTATTATAATAAATCAAGTTATATGCATTAGTGACTTAGAAATATACAGGGTGCGGAAAATGCTAGTAGGCACTTTTTATGTCATTTATTATTTCTTGCATCAATTATTTAAATGTCAAATTAATTTATTCTTGATCATTATCATTAGTACTAATATTATTTCTACGTATTATCTACGTATCATCATTGATTATAAACCACTACCATTTTTATTTTCGTAACTGAAAAAATTATTTAATAAATTATTTGTTTGCCGACCTTATTTTAATTTAAATTATTTTTGTGTTGATTAGGAGATTATGGTTCAACTTACTATCATCACTGTGAGATTATATTTCTGAATCTCTTGTTACTCAGTATGGAATCTGTTTGATTTTTAGCAATGTGTTCGCGATTATCTTGTGGCGATTTCTATATATGTAATCTTCTGCGAAGTAGTTTATAACAGATTTTGTAAAGAATGTAGAACAAAATGGGGCCGTTTGATATTACTTATCCTACAAAAGAAAAACGTTAATATTCTAAAAGTGGCGATTAATTTCTCAACACAGTCTACTTTTAGCTCGATACGCTTGACCCAGCGATGCTCCCACTTCTTTAACCTCTAGGAAACATACGTTTTCTCGAGGTCTACAAAGTAGGCTTCCGTGACGACGATGACTTCTATTTCGACTTAAATTTTTGGCCCAGCTAGTGCCTTTTTCAAGTTTTAAAACAAAAAAAGGTCACACGGGGCCAAATCTATAGAATATGATGGATGGGGCAACAGTTCGTAGTCCAATTCGACCAATTTTGCCATGGCGACAGCGGAGGTATAGCGGGTCCGTCGTCATGGTGGAGGAGAACTTTTTTCTTCGCTTAATGGGGTCATTTTTTCTACAATCGGCCCAATAATTCGGCGTAGTGGAGCCCTGTGACCGTTTTCCCATTCAAGTCAACGTCAATTACCTCTTGTGAATCCCACAAAATGGTGGTCATCCCCTTTCCGGCCGATAGGACTGTCTTTGCCTCCTACGGATCGCTTTCGCTGGTTAACGCCACTGTTTGGTGGATTCATGTTTCGTCAATTACACTTAAATAGTGTCAAACACTGCTTTGAATTGGTCTCACGGTTAAGCTTGTTGTCAGGAGTGAGCAAACGCAGTCATCATTACGCCGACATCTTTCTTATGCCCAAAATTTTACGCAGGATTTGACATACTCGATCTTTTGAGATGGCTACTGTCTCAGCTATCTCGCGTACCTTCAGTCGGCGGTCAGCCAATTTGAGATAGTGGATTTTTATCACATTATCCTTTGTAGTAACCGATTTTGAGACATCTGGGCGCGGTTCATCAAAAACTGAAGGTGAAGAGTCACCGTACACTGCATTGAAACGCTCTTTGATTTCGCTGCGCGATTTTCTTTGCAAAAACAAGAAGAAAATCATCGACCGATATTGCTCTTTTTCCGTTTTTCTAAAATCCAGGACATGCCCACTTTTTCACGCAGTCCACACAGAACTATAAGTTCAATTCGGCTGAAATTTTGACATTAGTCATCTACAAAAATGTATTACACGCTAGTAGATTTATCTTGAGATAGTGGCGCCATCAGGCGGTAAGGCTAAGCACTTATCGGACCACCTACGTAATTGCTATATTTTGTATTATTAAATTATTATTATATTGTATATTTATTTTACAGGTAATCACTTGGAAAAAAAGGATCACTATCGAGGACACAAAATGTCTCTGTGGTTAAATCTGATTCCTCAGCTGCATAGGCCAGGAGATGGTGGAGACGTGTCGATGAGACATCATCAGTTTCAAGAGGAAGACGACCAATATTATGATGGTATATGTATAATATTTTTTCACGGAAACATTTAACACAATTTAACTCACACGATAAATTGCGACAATTTTTTCTTCGTTTTCGATAAATTAATAATACGTTTAAGCAATTATTGTAGCTAGTAAATAAGTAGATAGAGTTAATATAAATGAAGCTGCGACATAATATTTTTTTATATAAATATTACCATTCTTTACATTACCGATAAAGTTATAGTAAAGATTGAAATTAAGAATTTATTCCTTAATTATCTCTATCCTTCTTACTGTCAACAGTTTATTTAAGCTAATCGTAATATTTTAAAGCATAGTATCTATTACATTTGTTTCTATAATCACACAACAACCACCTTATAAAAACAAATATAGTTTGATTGTTTAAATAGCAAGTATATTAATTTGTTAATTTGAAACAAAGTCATGTAATGCGATAATTGTTAAATATTATAATTTCACAGAATTATCCCATTTAGTGGGTAAATCCGTGCACTGTTGGAGAAAACTCCGCGCATAATTAAAAACGCTACATGGGTCCATCTACATCGGAGCAGTCGGCATGTGCTCACCCAGATCACAACGTGCATTGGTATCATAGTTCATTGTCTTTGCAGAATTTCCCGCATACAACACAATGTTTTCCGTAGAATTGACATCTACATCATTAAGTTCATCATCGTCGCAAATTTATTTTTCATCCAATGACTCTTTCGTAGTGGACCTGTCATCAAATTTTACTTTCTTACTGTGTATCTTACTATTTAATTTTCCTTTTTGAAATATTTTGGTTTTTGAGGTTCCTGTACTTTTTATATTTTTCATGTTTTAAAACATTTTTGGATTTTATTTTTGCACTTTTTATTTTCATTAGTTATCATTCTTTTCTGACTATTTTCTTCAACATCGTAATAATTGTTTTTTCATTGGAATTGATGTTAATATCTCAGAATGTAGGGATTTTCTTGTATTTGATTTCTTATTTCTTGTAAGTTTGTAATATCTGGAAAAGGAACTATTTCTTCAAATGATATATCAATAGTTGGACACGAACATTTAGACTGAACGAAATGTTAACCAGTAGTTAGAGGAGGTATCGGCTGAGATGACTTAGCGTTACTCAGAACTGATGCTGAACAAATATGAGAGTGTCTAGGATTTTTAGGAAGTGACTGAAAATATCCATTAGATAATGATTGGGAGTGAATGTGGGATGGAGCAGGACCCGCTGGCTGGAAACCTACTGACGTCTTCACTTTCTTTATCAATTATATTTGGTTGAACATGTCTCTCTGAGAAATGCCTACAGCTTTAAAACCAAATATCGCTTTATCCATTGTAGCTGCTTAAATAAGCCAATTTAAGTATTTTAGATGTATTGGGTGATTTTTTCAGACGGATATGCTCTTATGTATATGTCACATTGTTTATTATAGGCATTTGTTAGAGGAGTATAAAATGCCAAATCTAAAGGCTGCAGCCAGTGGGAGGTATGGGGTGGTATAGACACCAATATGCCATTGTTTTTGAACAAATCGTATGGTACCAATGGTATATGACTGAATCTCTAGAATAAAGAGTACCTGTTTTCCTTGGGATGGCTTTGCATGGTGTTAAAAATGTTTTAGCCACTTCGTAAATAATGCTTTGTTTATCTAGCCGTCATCTGATTATCTGTAGAAAGACATGCTGAGACATTTATTTAGAATTCTTGAGTACTTGGAAAAATGAATATTGGTGAAGTCACTGAAGACTGAACCTACTAGTTTTTGGTTTTTTAACCCAAAATGTTTATATGACTTTTTGTACCGTGGTAATACCGGTCTCATCAGTATTACAAATACTGTCTTGACTAAATGTATACTTATTCATCACAAATTCAACATTATTAAAAAATAATTTTACTTTTTTAAGTTGAATGCGGTAATTCTATGCAGACTTGTAGCTTCAGGCTGGCGTAAGCCAGCGAGAAGTAATGCTTAGTGGGCTTACACGGTTTATCAAACAATGTAATAGTTTACTAGTTACTTTATTGCGCGGATTTACCCACTGCGCGAAATTCCCCTGTTCTCCCCTATTAAAAGCCAGCTACTAGTTGTATAACGGTGGCAAATATCTAAATTTCATTCTAAGAAATCTGAGCTTTTGGAAGTTGTTTTCTAGTAATTAAATATCATAATTTTGTTTGTATAATTAACAACAAATGCTTTTATAGGTTATGTTCGACCTCAGATAAAAGAAAAACCAACCTACATCCATCTTTCTACGGCTTCCACTTCTATATCAACAGAGAGTACAAGTTCTACTCCAATACCACCAAAATCAGATACAGCCCTACAGGTGAGATCAATTGTTATATAAAGTAATAAAACCACATTAATTGTTTATAGGATATAAGTAAAAGCATGTTTTAAAAAGTGAAAGCATATAGTTGTATGTTGTTGATCACCACATAAAACTTTTAATTAACTCAATTGTATTGTTGTATTTTTTTATTAGATAATGACTTTACTTTAGCCAGTTAGCCAATAACACTTAACCAGTAACGTACCGCCTGTCATATCGCCATAGACAGATAATACAAATAGAGTGAGTGCTGCAATACATGCCCGTTCCTCCAATGCGACAGAAAAAACTGACGCAAAGCGCAGTTTTATATCTTTGTCTTCGAATGAGCGGGGTTTATTGCCCACGTGACCTACCCAGACCAAACACAACCAAAGGAAAGGCAAAGATTCGACTTGAGAATCAAATAGTGGTGGTGTCTTACCCTATAACTCCATGAGCAATTGTTCTTCCTCGCTAGTAAATTTTATGTTGGATATTAATATTTTTAATGAGAAAGCATGTACAAATCAGTGCTAAAACAGAAATGTCGCACAGCGACCGACGTCACTATCGACTAATGCTACGTTGCTATGCAACTGCATTTTAAGCATAAATAAGTTTGATGTAATATAAAACATTATTAAATAATTTCTTTATGAGTTCCTAAATGTGACAATTAGGCATATGAATAAAAAAATTACGCTATCGGTTAAGAGTTAAAATGTTAATTATGTCGACTTATGATTTTTTTTATTTTAGGCTACGACTACAGAATGCCCTCCAAATCAAACAATATTTCTTCCAAGTCAAACAAAAACTTCCAATAATCTCTTAAGAAAACTTGCTTCCAGTCACTATCAAAATTATACCACTGCCCTTACAATTACCATAGCGGTGGGCTGCTTCCTTCTGTTATTGAATGTTCTAATCTTCGCCGGAATTTATCACCAGAGAGACAGGGAGAAGAACAAGAGGAAGAGGAAAGAAGCCCAACATGAAACAGGTAATTATTTATTTGCACAGTATTATTCGGTAAACCGGTAACTATATATTTTAAATAATAATCAAAATAATAATAATTGAGTGTTCAGACTTAGCCATATGGCTAACAATCCCTCTAAGGGGAAAATTTGCTCATCCCAGATACCTACAATATCAAAAGGATTGAATTCTGGTGGAGTATCTTGCAAAAATTTTCGTACACATCTGGACGTCACGAGGAATACAGCTTTCTGTATGGCCTTATAGAGATGTTCCTTTAGACCCAGCTCTTTTATGTTCTTTGGGAGGTTTTTAGGAATAACACCAGTAGTAGATAGAGTAATAGGTACTATCTGATAAAGGTATCTGGTATAATCACGTAAATTATTTGTGTTGGGTATCGCCACATCAATAAGTGTTATTTGCCTAGTAAGTTTATTTACTAGTATGAGATTCGGTCTATTATGTGCCACTGGTTGGTCTGTGAACACAGTGCGGTCCCAGTATAGCTTGTAGTTGTCATTTTTAAACATTCTGTCAGGGATGTATTGATAATAAGGAAGATGGTCGGTTTGGAGAAGTCTCAGTTTGTCTAGTGGATAATCTCTACTGAGTCACGGCGTTTTCTTTATAATCGGTATCGGTAAATGCCTGGCAGTCACCGGTAAGATGTTGGATGGTTTCTTGGGCTTGGCATCCACATCAGCATTTGTCATTTTGGACTTGAGGATCTTTAACAATATATTTCAAGTAATTTTTGTTGAAGCAACCTGATCCTGAATGGTAAGTAGCTAACCCTCAGTCTCGGAAAACATCTTTTTTGATGTCAACCAATAGTTTGACGCTGTATTGTTGACACATTCTTGGCTGATCTCATTGAGATGTCGCCTATGCAGAGGTTTACTCATCCAGGTCCGCATTTTTTATTGCTTAGTCAGGTTGTATCAGCTACTGTTTGACCCTCTGGAACTCATTCAGTCATCACGATGCCGTTAATTGTCGAAAAAATGATAAGCATGGCTTTAAATTTTGATTTCGACATCCTTGCTTGTTTCATTTTTGGCGATGTAGAAGTTTTCCAATGCATGGATTGTCGCTTAGTTTCAACATCGTATTTGAATATCCAGATTTTAGTGCAAGTGATGATTTTTTTTTTGCTCAAGAAAATTTGAGCAGATCTTTTGACAGACTATCTTTTGGTTAGGAGTCAAATTTTTTGGGACCAACTTCGCACATGCTTTCTTCATGTTCTATTCGTCATATAAAATTTTTCTGACGGCGTTTTAGCTGTTTGCGGAGTTAGAACAAAGACAGATCGACCTGGACGTTGATCATCTTCGGCGCTCTCTCGGCCTTCAGAAAACCGATTTTATCATTCAAAAACACTTGCACGAGATCGATAATTCTCACCATAGGCCTCGTTCAACAAATTATAGCATTTAGTTGGAGTTTTTTTTAATTTAACGAGAAATTTTACATTAATCCGTTACTCGTGTTTTTCGTCACATATTGTTATCGGCACGAGACAAAAAACGTTCTTTTCTAACCTCTACAGAACAAATACTACTATAGCGACAAAACCGTGTTTTCATACTGGAAGAGTAGAAACTTCCAGCTATCCAATACTGAATTCGTTTCACACTCTTCCCCTCTAGGACGCCTTCTGCGCGCGCAGTCTCGTTATTTAATCGCCAGACCTCGTATGTCCTGAATTAAAATATACCTAATTTTGCGAACGCATATAGTACTATTTATCGAAAAACTATAAAGCTTTTTTAATTGCAGGAAGTTGTAGCAGTTCCTCTGGTGAAGGCTACGACAAATCCTACGAAATCCAACATTCCGAAATGAAATGCAGTCGCCACAAATACGGATCCGACTACAGCTGCAATCAAAAAATGCACACCGATATCCAAATAACTGAACTACCCATACAAAACTTTAAATCTTCCCCTCCGCCGGCCAAACGAATCGAAAACATCCAGTCTAGTTTTCATCCCCCCGACGTAACGACCACCAGCCAGGACGTGCTGCTCGGCAGAAACATGACCTCATCGTCGCCGGTCGTCGAGGTGGTACCCCCAGCTAGTACAAATCAAATAGGAATTCTCAGGCCTCAAGGTGGTCCGGTCACGCCGGGAACCATGAAGAAACGTGTTCAGATCCAAGAAATATCTGTATGATTATGTATGAATATATATGTACAATGGATCAGTACCTCTACGAAAACGTGCAAACTGTTAGGATTTGCTAATCTTTTTTGAGTTGATAAAATTTTAATGTAAAAAAAATGAATTTGAAATAAGGATATTTATATAAAATCTAGTTAGTATTTTATTTGATATGTTTCATTTTTAATAACTGATAGAATTTTCAATAATGATCAACAATAAACACATTTTTATATTGACATAGTATAATTTAATGACTGAAGCTTTGTTTCACATATAATTTTTTTGTCTGCTAATACTTTTTTGAATGTTGCAAAACAATAGTTTTTATTAATTTGGGAGATTTTATTAGCAATTTCCTTTCTGTTTATTTTTTACTGGCTTGATTGACCTCCATAGATTCTTTTGATCCGGCACACATATGGGTATTGATCAATCATATAAAACAGTTTAGAATGTTTATTGACTTTAGAATGTATAGGTAAAACAAGCAGCTGGTCTTCAAAAATCCAACGCAGCAAACTGCAAGATCAACAGAGGAACATTATCACAGATAAAAATCAAGAAACATGCATATGGACCAAACACATACAAGAACTCTTCGATGATAATAGGTCCGAACAACCTCTGCCCTACATATGTAATGACCACTTACCAATGACAACAAATGAAGTCAAAAAAGCGGTACTCAGCGACTAACAAAAATATTAAATGATATATATTTAAACGGAGTAATAGCAGGATCATGGCTGAAGTCAACGTTTAGTGCTCTACCAAAGAAAACAAAATCCGTATCCTGCAATGATTTCCGGACCATCAGCTTAATGAACCACATTTTAAAGTTACTTTAATAAGTTATACATCAAAGGATGCGAAGAAAAAACTAGCCGTACACAGTTTGTTTTTCGGAACGCAGTGGATACAGGCTTCGTTCCGATATCTGAAAGAATTATAATGGTGCAATTATTGACAACCCATGGAAAAATGAATTTAATTCAGATTTATGCACCAACTGCTGACAAAAATGAAGAAGAAATAGAAAACTTTTATAGCGAACTTCAAAAAACATTACATCTCACAGCATCTAGAGACGTAACAGTGATCATGGGTGATTTCAACGCAAAAATTGGCGAGGGAAAATGCTACCCTAATGTAGGACCATATGGGCTTGGTGAACGAAACGACAGAGGGATCGCCTAATAGAATTTTGCCAGGAGCACAATGTTATAGCCGCAAATACATTCTTTAAATTACCTAAGCGACGCCTTTATACATGGAAATCGCCAGCTGACAAAGACAACAAAATCGTCAGAAATCAAATTGATTACTTCCTAATAAAACACAGATATCGAAACTCAATTCAGGCAGTAAAGGCATATCCAGGAGCGGACGTATTTTCTGATCATAGTCTTCTTATTGCTAGATTTCAACTTCAACTAAAAAAGACACAAAAAAGCCGCAATAACAATAAACTTAACATACAGAAACTAAAGTCAGAAGAAACAAAAGAAAATCTGAAACACGAAATCAACACAAATCTAGACAGAAACCCAGGAAATAACTGCAACGTAGAGCAGCAGTGGCAATTCTTCAAAACCTCTATATTGGAGCCAAGTAAGAAACTACTTACAACAACTAAATATAAGAAAGAAGAATGGATGACAGAGGAAATTCTAGAGTTAATGAATGAAAGGAGAAAAAACAAAACCATTAATAAGACGCGCTATAAACAGCTTCAAAACCAAATAAGAAGAAAAATTAGGGAGGCTAAAGAGACCTACTTCTCTGAAAAATGTAAGGAAATAGAAGAACTTCAAAACAGATATGACAACTTCAACCTACATAAAAAAGTCAAAGAACTAGCCGGAGTAGGAAATAGAATAACCTCAAATATATTGTTCGACAAAAATGGAAATATTATATTGGAAACAGAACAAAAACTACTACGATGGAAAGAGTACATCGAAGAATTATTTCATGACCAGAGAGAAGCTAGTACATCTGTAGATAGCCAAACGAGAGATGTAGGTCCAGAGATAACCAAATCAGAGGTTAGTCAGGCATTAAACTCAATGAAAACCAATAAATCTGCTGGTCCAGATGAATTACCAAGCGAGCTACTAAAGTTGGTCAACGAGAAAAACCTGGACATAATAGTAGAACTGTTCAACGCTATCTATACTACGGGAATCGTTCCTAGAGAAATGTTGACATCATCATTTGTGTGTTTTCCAAAGAAAGTGAATGCCAAAGAGTGTAGTGACTATCGAACCATAAGCTTAATGTCACATACCTTGAAAATTCTCTTGAAAATTATTCACGCCAGAATACACTCTAAACTGGAGCTGGATATTAGTGACACTCAATATGGGTTCCGCAATGGTATGGGTACCAGAGAGGCATTATTCTCCTTCAATGTGCTGACACAGAGATGTTTGGATGTTAACCGTCCTCTTTACGTCTGTTTTATAGACTACAATAAAGCGTTTGATAAAGTAAAACATGATCGACTCCTGGAAATTCTAAAAAATAAAAACCTAGATGAAAGAGATTTAAGGCTAATAACACACCTCTATTACAATCAGCAAGCAATAGTAAGAATCAAAAAAGAAACATCTGAAGAAATGGAAATAAAGAGAGGAGTCAGGCAAGGCTGCATTCTATCACCTCTATTATTTAACGCCTATTCTGAAGAGGTAATTCGAGAAACTCTGGAAGATGAAACAGTCGGCATAAGAGTAAATGGAGTCTTAATTAACAACATCAGATATGCAGATGATACAGTAATAATAGCCGATAGTTTACAAGACCTGGAAAGACTCATGAGCAAAATAGTCATGTGTAGTAGGGAGTACGGACTCTCTCTTAATGTCAAAAAGACGAAGTTTATGAAAATTTGTAAAAACAACTATAATACTAACGAAATCTTGATAGTAGAGGGCCAGCAGATCGAAAGAGTAAAAAAGTACACTTACCTAGGAACACTTATAACAGAAAATAATGACTACACGGCAGAAATCAAAGTCAGAATCGAAAAAGCACGTTCTAATTTTATAAAAATGAAAAAGGTCCTATGTGGCAAAGATCTAACATTAGCTCTTAAAGTACGCCTAACAAAATGTTACGTATACAGTGTACTATATTATGGAATGGAATCATGGACGTTAAATCTAGATACCATGAGACGACTTAACGCCTTTGAAATGTGGACCTATAGAAGAATTATGAGGGTTTCCTGGGTAGATAGAGTTACAAACAATGAAATACTGAGAAGAATAGGCAAAGAGAAGGAAATTGAACTTACAATTAAAGAAAGAAAGCTACAGTATCTCGGACATGTGATGCGGGGCGATAAGTATGGCATCCTGCGACTCATAATGCAAGGAAAAATAGATGGCAGAAGAAGCATCGGAAGAAGACGAATTTCATGGCTGAAGAACCTGAGAGAATGGTTTGGATGCAGCTCAAACAACTATTTAGAGCTACTGCCTCAAAAATTAAGATAGCTATGATGATTGCCAACCTCCGTAGCGGAGATGGCACCTGAAGAAGAAGTGGATACGAGAGAGACTTTCTTTAGCATAAGTGCTATTTCAACGGTGTAGAGATGAGATTGCGATATTTATGCTTCATTGATTACCATAAATGTTCGATACTGTAAAATACGACAAGCTGATGGAGATATTAACAAATATTGGAATAAACACCTGTGATCTAAGAATTATCAGCAATCTTTATTGAAATCAAACATCGTCTATCCGTACAGAGACAGAAGAATCCGATGATATCAAAATCAAACTTGGGTTTCGACAGGGATATATACTACCACTCTTACTGTTTAACATATAGTCTGAAAAAATCTTTCAAGAAGCAGTAGAGGATGTTTAAGTACGCGAATGACACTGTGGTATTCGCTGAAAGTTATGAAGCACTCCAGGAGTTAATGAATAGAATCCCAGAAGTGAGTGAGAGATATAAAATTGGGACCATTCCCTAGAAATAAATTCTAGGACAGAGAAAGCAAGATCTGAATTTCAAAAAATGGCTAACCTATTCAAATGCCATGATGTTACTACGATGTTACACCTATCTTTCCTATACTGTTGTACGGAGTTGAGTTGTGGTCTCTCACAGACGCTACCCACAAGAAAATTGAGGCTTTAGAAATGTGGCTTTATCGTCGAATCCTGAAGATATCCTATACCGACCACGTTACTAACCAGGACGTTTTATTAAGATTGCAAAAAGGAAAAGAGTTGTTAACCACAATAAAAGCAGCCAAAATCGAATATCTCGGTCACATCTTGAGGAACAGCGAAAGATATGGTGCAATTAATTCTACAAGGAAAAGGATAAGGAAACGAACCAGGAAGGCAAAAAGCAAAATACAGATAGCCATGATGGTCTCCAACATCCGTAACAAATAGGCACTTCAAGAAGAAGAAGATTGACTTTATAAAGTAAAAATTTCAATGATATTACCCTCTCACTCGGTCTCACAACTTATATCACATTTTCTTTCATTGCTTTCTTTGTTGCATACCACAACGTGTATCATTCATCCAGATTTTTGCTCCCTTGCTCTTTGCTGAACAACTAGTTTTCTTCTTTTAAACCTATCCACCAAATACAAGATTCCAAAACCTTATACTCATTTTTATAAAGAATAAAAATATACCTCAAAGACTGCAAAACAATGTGTTTAATTCCTGTATCCTACCTGAACTTACATATGGAGCTTAGACCTGGACATTCACTAAAATAAACATCGAAAAGATCAGAAAAACTCAAAGAGCTATGGAACGACAGATATCGGTAATTGACGGCCATATAAAGCCAAAAAAACCACGAGGAAGACCGCAAATGCGATAGAGCGACGATATTAAAAGAACTGCAGGGCCAATGTGGAAACGTCTTACAAACAACAGGGATGAATGGCGAGAATTGGGAGAGGCCTATATTCGGCAATCCGAATAGAGAGAAGGGTTTTAAAATCCTGACTTTCCGAAGTTGTCAGTTGTAAAGCGAGGTGATTTTACTCCTCGGATGGTCCTTGTCCGAAAAAGGCTCTGTTTGCTTCTGATGAATTGAATAATGAAAATATTTTATGCCCGAATGCTGTTTTTATCAGCACCATGCCCAGAAGGGTGTTGCCAACACACTACCAATGTAACAAGATGTAGTATTATCCCACAGCTACCTACATTTCTCTGTGCAGACCAGGATTTCTACTTCAAGAACTTTCCTGTACATGTAATAATCTTCCTAAAAATATGGATTTTATTATAGACCCCGAGAGATTGATAAATCCATCACTAGCCTACCTGAACCCCGTGGCAGATATAGACCATAATCCCCTTACACACCGCTAAGGTTTGGAAGTTTGACAAAATAATCTCAAATAGAATGTATTAAATTCAAATGCAATTCATTGTTTTTATTTATGAATTCTACAAAATTCTATTGTCTTGTTGTCATGCCACATACAACATCTTGTATACCTAGCCCAAAATAATTTTTGGTGATAGACCACTTGATTCTAGAGACTTCGCTATTTTTCTTACTTGACACAATTTCCATGTTTCGCGAACGGTGGTAGAGTGGATCACCAAGCATATAGTATAAAGAGTTCTTTTTTATAACCCTTAAACCCATAACCCATAAACATAAAAATGCACTGCAAATCAAATAAAGAAGTTGGGGACTATTTTCGATATAAACAGAAACAGCACATACTTACAAATATTTTCATTATAAAGTTTACCATCGAAAATCTATGCAACTGAATTTTTAGATCTCAAAACCGTTTAGATTGGCGGATCCATGTAATAGTCCACACCGTGAGACCCCCGATAATAATACCGATTTTAAAGAAATTTGCAAAATAATTTCTGAATTTAATCAATTACCATATAAACGGGAAGTGTAGCAGCTAACAGGCAATATTCCGTATTAGAAACCAGCGCCTTGGGCCAAAAATTCTGGTGATGAGTTTACCTATTTCTGGTGATGAGTTTACTGATCTCCAAAGGATGCCGGTAATGAGTTTACTATATATCTCGAAGAGTCTAATAATTTTATGGGGGGCTATAAAGTGAGGAGTTCGTACATGTCCAAGGCATTGGACCCTTTACTTATACCTACTTTTTTAATAACTTTTATTATTACGCCATTGATTCTCTTCCTGTGATATCATTTAAAGTGTTTCTATTATTTGAATTAAAGACATATAATTAAATTTAACAAATAAAAATATAATGAATAGAAGATTAGCGTGTACCGATATAAAATCAAAAGATATAGAAGTACTGATCTACTATAAATAATTTTGTTACTTAAGTGAAAAGACATTTTAGTATATTCATGTAAATATAAATTATATAAAGAATTTCTGTATTAATAATCCAAACGTGTTGTTTTATGAAATATTTTATTGGAAGCTATATTAGTTTTGTATTTTTTAAAGAAAATTATAGTGTCTATAAGAAAAAATGTATACACTTGTGTACGAAAAAAATCAACTGGTAAATAAATTGGCAATACAATAAATGTAGTAAAATTTAAATGAACGTTTTCAAAATATTTTATGCCCGTAACTCTAAGGAATTCACCTAAAACTCGCAATTAAATCAGATGAATGAAAACAATAACTGAACTAGAAGATCTTAAAAAAATTCAACTTTTAGAAAAAAACTATAATTTCTATGAGATGTAAACAAGTGATATAGTCAAGAAATTACTATCCAGAAATGAACAATTTTTATCAAATATCTCTGAGAATACATCAGGGGTACATAATCAAATCTGGCTACGTCCATCGTGCATGATTTGACAGGAAGTAAAGAAACACTCTTATTTTTGATGGCAGTAGCTAAAATTTGAAAATTACTGTTAAAACATTTAAAGAAAAGATACTATTTATATTGGTATTACATTCAGCATACTATTGTTTTGATCCCAAGCGGTGGACATGGCAATGTTTGATCCCCACGTCATAGGACCTGACCAAGTTTGATTCCAACCTAATCTCACCAGCCGGACTCAGTACAATGTGTCAAAATACATATTTTGAACATTATTGTTACTAGCTTTGCTTGCGTCTGTATCATGTATCACTCGTATCATTTGTCTCTCTTCAGTTATTTAACTATTTAGGTACAAAATTATGCTGTTTTTATTTATTTATTTAGGTAGGTATTTTTCTTACAGGCTAACAGTATAAACCAACACAATTATAGGTAAAAGGTAAAACTAAAAAAAATATTCTCTAACATTAATTATTTATTTCGATTCAAATTATCACTTAAGCCGTCTATCACCAGCTATTGTAATTCACAACCTAGATGTTCTGTAACTAAATAAGAGAGCAATAACAGAAGAAAAGAAAAAGGATTTAATAGACTTACTTAAATTCATTCCCTCCAAGTTCCACAGCTTTTATTCTGGATTAAAAGATAGTTCCGAAGTATTAGATGAGGGTTTAGAAGAAGCAATTATACATGAAAATTAATAATACGCACTAAAATATATTTTTAGCTAATCAGTTGTAGATTTGTTGAAACAATTTACTTATTTAAGTTTTCTTATGGCAAATGTACTTAAAAATAAATTAAAACACAAGATACTCTAGAAATATATTTTTTGTAACAGCAAATGTGTCTATACTTTTTGAACACAGAAATTAGCTTAAGACATTAGCTTTTCTTTAAAAAACAAATATAATGGTACACTTTTTTTATCATAAAAAATGTACTTTTTCCTTGAAGTTAATTTTTCCTTCTTCACAGAGTCATATTGAACGACCTGGTCTAGATTCTTCAAGGTTATATTTTTTATTTTTTTTGTGCTATGGGTGGTGTTAATGTACTTGGCCTGCCTTTTTTGCGTCCTTTTTAGCTTGTCACATTCTTGTCGATGTTCAAACCAGCATTTACTGCAGCCAAGCCTAGGGCATGAAAAATCATTCGAAGGTCCCATTTTTTTGAACGAATATAAGTTCTGTACACACTGATCATTTAATCTAATAGATCAACGCCACCCATCGAATGGTTATAAAGCTTTACCGCCTCAGGTCGCTACATCCATATAATTTTTTTTATTTCTTGTCCCACCGCTTAACTACATCAGTATTTCCAATTCCAACAGAGTTAGAAGCCAGAAGCACACTCCGATTATCCATCCATTTGACTAAAACTACATCGCCATACTACTTAATCTGTGGTTCCTCTACCATTTTTTGGCATTCCTTTATCGGTTTTTACAAGAGTGTTGAACCTATTGCCTCGAATTGTTCCAGCTGTCAATATTTTTTTATTTTCAGACTTGAAGAAATTTCGTTATATAACTTGTGCCATTCATTATTTATTCTTTCTGTAAGATGAAGAATTATTGTAGCGTCAAGTCCAAACCGCTTTAGCAACTGAGCATCTAAGCCAGTAGAAGCGCCTTGATATTAAACAAAATCATACGCGATGCCAGACTTTTCGCATAAGACGAAAATGTTTACCCCCAGGGTGTAGGTTTATCCTTTGAGTATTGAATTACAGACAAATGGCCCCTAAATGGTACCATTTGTTCATCAACACACAGGTTTTCTTTTAACTTTAACTCTAAACATCGTTTCCTGATACCATCATACAACGGACGTACTCTATAGAACTTATCGGTACAGTTATTGGGGATTGTCAAAGTATTTACACAATGTAAATTTGATCAAAGTTAAAAAGAATCGGTCTCTTGCCATTGTTTCTCTAAATATATTGACATGCAAATGTTTGTGCCAATATAAATGAACTGATGGAAATTTTAGACAACCGGAAATAATGTGTAAAGAAAATAAACTTGTAATTTCATCTGCACATTGCACATGTCTTTTTGAACCTAGTTTTTTCGTTGTGAAAAGCATATATCGCTGTCCCGGTGAAACAATGACGTAACTTCAAAAGTGTAACTTTTTATAGCCAAAAATATAAAATTATTTTACTTAATACCTTATGAAATGAAGCATAATGAAGTTACTGTATTAGTATTACAGTTATACTTAGCCACCGTGATATACTGTAACTCTACTACACATTTGCAATGAATTCCTAATTTTTGATCCCCAATTGCAATTACGTCATTGTTGCCACAAAATAACTGAGGCAACAATGACGTAATTGCAATTGAGGATCAAATTTAGGGATGAAAAGTTAAGAATTTAGAATTTAGTTTTAGAAAGAAAAATTTAGAATTGAGTTTTAAACATAAAATTTCCACAAACATACTCATTTTATAAAATTTTTGGTTACCTAGCTAGTTTTGAAAAGTTCGAATCGAAATAAGCACAAAAAGTCATTGAAAAAGTTTATTAAATTAAAAATTGTAGCAAAAACAAACAATTTTAGTAAAAAGGAAATTAAAAATGAAATTGAAATTGCAAAAAAAAGTATCTACGAAAAATTTAATCATAAAACTCTTTACAAATCCAAGAATTATATGTTTTGAAAGTAACTGTTTCAAATCTTTTAGTTTGTTATCAGTAGTAATATCCCTAGGACATTGATAACAGACGAGATAATTTCATGACAATCAAAAGCTCGTTCCTTGGTAACAGCACGAAGCCGAAGGCTGAGTGCTGTTACCAAGCAACGAGCTTGAGAAATTTGTCATGAAATTATGAGGCATTCATCAATGTCCGAGGGATATTCGGCGGATAATTTTTCAAAAAAAAATCATAACTCAACATAACGAAAAATTTATTTATTAAAAGTACAGTTAGTGAAAGTACAATTATTAAAATTTAAGTGAATTCCAAATTCCATGTAGGTTGTATTTCTGGGAATTCTTTCTTTGATTAGCGCATTTATACTTTGAACATTCTCATTGCCGAAACGTGACATTTTGAAATTTATTTGGATGAAGTTGTCAAACTCGATGGTGTTGTTATAGGGATTGAAAATTGAACTGAATGCAATTATCAGTCTAATGTTGACATGATTGGGTGAAATTGTTCCACATGACACAAAATGACGAAATTTGAATGGTTGTTAGAACAGTCGAAAAATTATTACCTAAACGAATTTTTAAGAGTAATCCCTACGCAGCTGGCATTTCGGTGAAAACAATTCCTACGAACTACGAAAGGAAGTAATCTTTCCCTTTTACGCTTTAAAGTAGCATTAGTTCAGTTATTTTGAAGTCACGGCCTTCCTCGTCTTTGGTGAGATCTAGTCCCATTTTATTGTACACTTTTACATCGTTAAACTCAGTGAAATCCTTTTCTTTAACGGTTAAAGGAGCTCCTGTTTTTTAAGCATTCCTAATTAATTTAATGTATTGCTCGTGAATGTATATGGGCCCTGATTTGGTTGCCCTCTTCACTGCTTTCTCTATTTTGCTGTGGACTGAATCACCTTCATTTTGGGTATGATTGCGAACAAGATACTTATGAGTAATAGAATTGATGTCCAAAGTATTCACAGTAAACAGTAAAAGGTTATTAGAAATTTTTTTTTGCCTCCACAGTTATCGGAATAAAAAATCACATTAACTCTTGAGCTGGGTATTGAAAATTCTTATAGATAGTAATAAACGCAAGATCAAATTTCTATTGTCCCTCTATTCCCCATCACTTCATTCCAAAAGTAACAGCTTTATCAATTTTACAATTGCTATCTGTTTCGGAGATTTGGTCTTTTAGCCTTTACTTCTACTACTGTAAAGTTATAACAGTTAAAGCAAAATTTGTAAAATAATGCAGAACTTTGTCCTATTGGTACAGATAACACTGCTTGTTAATCATAAGTAGCCAGATGTATATCGTTATCGTTTTTTGTTTTCAGTTTATCGTTAGTTTTTTCTTTACGCTTAGATCCTTTTGCTCTAAGTGACTTTTAATGGTTGTTTGCGTATTTTCTTTTTAAACTTTGATGGTATACAAGGCAACTATCGAACACAGTAATTAATTAAATCTTGCCCAAGTACTTTCGATCAATAGATCATCTTCAGGGGCATTTCGTCAGTTGTGGCCTATCCGACATGAGCAGAATGTCATACATGTAAATTTGGACATAACAATACAATACACAAAGACAAACAAACACTTTAAAATTTATAAAAAGGAGAAGCTACATGTTATATAGAAGCCGGAGACAGAATGATTTTCTTTTTCTTCTACTCCGGCATTTTAAAAAAAATTCGAATACTTAGGTGGAAAGATCTTTCTTTGAGATAAAAAAACCCATTATTAAATTCGCTGTTGAAAATACGAAAATAACAATCGTAGGTTGCTTACTCTTCTTCTTTTGGTTCTTTTCGTTCCTTTATATAGTTCCTGTGATGTTCTGTAATAATTAAATCACCGTCCATGTATTGCCACGAAGAATCACTTCGAATATAGTGACTTTCAATTTGTGGAATTGAATTTATATGGCTACGAACAAATCCAAAATTTTGTCACTTATTTTCTTGTGACTCTCGTGCTTCCCACGTTAATCTTCTGGTATAATAGTAGTTTTTTCGCTTGAAACTGCTTTAATTATCGAGCGAATAGCTCTTTCAGTTATTCCAAAAGTATTACTGAGAAACGTTTTACATAGCCGTTCTTGTTTTTCCTTGCCTGTAATGAAAAATGCACAATTTGTATTTATGGGAGTGGTTTTTAATGTAGAAATACGTCGGTAGCTCAACTCAAGTGGCTGAATACAAGAAGCCAAAATATCTCGCTGTCTTTTCAAGGAGCCTAATGTTAAATACTATTTAAACTTTGTCTCTCTTAGCTTTTCAGATACTCTATTTGGACATTTCAAACGGCATTTGTCGGTACGCACACGTCGCATTTTTTTAACAGCTACAGGTTTTCCTTAATTACTATTTAACTGGGAATAAGCCACAATTAAAGATAAAAATACGTTTATTGATGTTTCAATTTCCACTTCGGAAATCGATCTCAAAATATATATATCCGGTTTTTTAGGCGTTACGCCCGTCCGGTAGGGATCTATGGAGGAGTATCACTAAGCCGCAAGCCCTTATCTCTTGCCGTACTGCTCCACCATAGGCCGATCAAATCCCAGCATATCCTAGTCTAAGCCGCAGATTCATCTAGAATTTTAAACTGCTGCGTTAGACAGCCTCACAGCCCGCTGAGCTATCTGACCGACTGATCTCACCTGACCTGACGATCTCAAAATACAAACAGTAAATTAAACAAATTTTGTTTTTTGTTACATAGTGAAAAATTCTTCTAATAATTTAATTTTATCTGACTCATTTATATTGACAATTCAGACATACATTATGCATTTTAAAGTAGACGACTTTAAAATGATATTGCCAATATTGTTGAGTTGCGCTCCTGGGACGACTTTACTTATAAGATTCATTCGATTACATGAAATCAACTTTAACTTGAGAATATCCGTCAGAAAAAATCATAGCATGTAATTCGTCTTTAAAAAGACAAACACATGACATGATGACAGTAAAATTCTCCTGTTAGTGATTCCATAGTAAATTATGAGGGAAAAACCAGGAAAAAAACCTCGTAATACTATGCCGACATGGTAAGTATTTGTTCGTGCATTTATAGTGTATTTTTATGTATGAGAGAGTAATAAAACAATAAATTATGTATGCAAATCCCTAAACTGTTGATACGGGTGACTCAATGAAAAACAGATATTTGCCAACAAGTTTACAGAAGTATATAGGAAAACAATTTTAAATTGAGTATGACCACCAGGTTTAAGGATGGAGCAGAATAGAATACAATAGTTGTGAGGGTTACTAATCCCTAAATAAGGTTGCCAGTGTCGGAGTGATGGAGGTTAACAGGTACTAATGAATTTGCAAGAAATGTAAGATGTTTATTTTATTGGTTATATATAACCAATAAAAGTTTAATAAGTACCTACCTTTTTGCAAAATAAAGTTTAATTCTTTAGATAAAATAAAACGTTTTATTTTATCTGAAATGAGTGCATTCCACGAAGTAAGGGTTTCAACAATCAAACATTTAATTCTTTAATTCCAGGAATCTACGACAGTAATTGACTAGATAATTACCTTCTAAACTTATTCCACAGAAAATGTGATAGTGGGTTTTTCCATTTTGTAAGAAGGTCCAAGTGGCGTATTCAAAATTCTTAACAGTTCACTAAAAGTAGGTACTTCAGTTGCAAGGTGCAGTTTATTGTGTATACTAGTGTTATGGAAAATTTGGAAGTGCCGTGTAAACGCCGAAAAATTGGTCCTTTAACAGTTAATGAAAAAACATTAATATTTAATTGTTTTAAATTATTTACAGACAAACGTTTATGTGAAAGTGTTGATGAGACCGTTGAGCTAGTTAGCAGTACACTTGGTGTTGGGAAATCTACGATTTACAGAGTTATTAAAGAAGAGAAATGTGGTAGTTTTCAAATGCCACGTAATGCTCCAGGGAAACCAAAATTTCAAATAGAATATCATTTTAAAGAAGGACTTCGACGGAAAGTGCATAAATTCTTCTTTAGACAAGAATTTCCAACATTGGATAAAGTTCTTGTCTCAGTTCGAGATGATAAGGATTACCCAGAAATGAGTCGAAGTATATTCTAAGAAGCGATATTGTCATATGGAGAAGACATTTTCTAAGAACCATAAAGGAAATGAGAAACCAAAAAAGAAAAATATTTTATCTTGATGAAACATGGATCAACGAGGGTCATACACCAAATAAATTTTGGCAGGATGAAACTGTTAGAAGTCAAAGGCACGCTTTTGTAAATAACTTATCTACTGGTTTAAACCCACCATCAGGAAAGGGACGTAGGCTGATAATAGTACACATTGGCAGTTTAGACGGTTTTATTGAAGGTGGCTTATTAACTTTTGAATCAACTCGTACCGGTGACTACCATGAAGACATGAACGCTGATGTCTTTCAAGAATGGTTCGAACAAATGATAGATCTTCTTCCTAAGAACTGTGTAATAGTAATGGATAATGCAAGTTATCACTCCAGACTTATAAAAGGACTGCCCACAACCAAGTGGTTAAAAAAAGACTTGCAGAATTGGCTAAGTTCAAAAAATATTACGTACCATCCCGGATCTATAAGAAAGGAACTTTATTCGTTGTGTGCCCTTCATAAAGAAAAATTTAAAAAATACGAAATTGATGAAATTGCCAAAAATCATGGAATGACAGTACTTAGATCCCCACCATATCATTGTGAATTAAACCCGATTGAACTGGTATGGGCACAGATAAAGAGTGAAGTTTCAAGAAAAAATACCACTTTTAAAATTCATCATGATGTTAAACAGTTGTTTTTGGAGGCCGTAAATAATGTAAAACCTGAAAACTGGGAAAAGGCAGTAAATCACACTATTAAAGAAGAGGAAAAAATGTGGAAGCTGGACAATATTACTGATAAAATGATCGTGCCAGTTATTATAAATCTTGGTTCTGAAAGTTCATCTTCTGAATCTGATTTGGATTTGTAACAAGTAGCTGTAAGTTTTATATTAATATTTTTATTCATCTATTTAACATACCTTAGACGGTTTTAAAAACTCTTTTTCTCTTTTGTAATTTTTAAAAATTAAAAAAAATGTTTAAATGTTTAAAAAATTTTTAATGTAGGCCAGTCAGTTCTAATATAGTGTGTGATAAAAAGGTCACTTTTGTTTACATACACATAACACTTTATAACACTGAAATAATTCATTTATTTTTTACAATTATTCAAAGTAATTTTTCAATTTATCTTGAGCACGCCCATGGAGTGGTCGAAGGTACCAGTTAAAATTATGCTAATTACTCTCTCGTTCATAAAAATAAACTATAGTTTACCTTTAATAAACACCAAAATTCTGATTTTATATGTTTCGTTATTTAAAAAACATAAATGATGTATCCTCTATATGTTACTGACTTACTAATACTGGTATTTTCTTATTAATAACTTCCTCTTTCAATATTAGTAACCAGATCCTACTACATTCTGCCGAGGAATTTGCGACACAATTGGCCTCATTTAGCATAATTAAAGCCGCTTCTTTGATTTTTCTTTTTTTACCATCCGTCTCTTTTAGGACTACATTTGAATTATTCCATTGAACCCTATGTTCATTATCCCATGCATGTTTACATATTTGAGATCTATCAAATTCTCTATTTTTAATATAAGACTGATGTTCACTTATTCTAACATTTAATGGCCTTGATGTTTCACCTAAATAAAAAGGTTAAATTTAATTTCAATAACCAATTTGCAGTTACGTCAATGTTCTACCGGGACAGCGATATATTGGTAAAAGTGGTCATCTGCTAAAAACTGCTGTTCGTTGAATACTATATTTGGAACTTGGTGAAATGAAAAGGCGTAATCTTATTAAAAAATTTAATAAATTAAAAAAATAAAGATTTTATAATAAAGCTCCTGAAGTACTCGGTTCATTTGTAGTGTTCGACGGAAAGTTACCCTGTGTCCACATTATCAGATTATGTTCCGGCATCTGAGACGCTTGGAAATGATCGGTTAGCAACATCTGTGAGAAATTTACGTGCCTTTGGTACGCCTCGTTCTCTCGCTGGCTATCACCGCAAATTCTATGTAAATCTAAAAATCAAAATTTGTTATTCCTAGTAAACTACAATTTTTATTAAAAACAAAACTCAGAAACAACATTTAATATACCAGAAAATCAGAATTAAATTGCGGTAAACTGTTAAATGAGTTGAGTTTTATGACGTGTTAGTCTTATTAAATGATTAAGTATACCTGGAAACATTACTCTTAAACGCAACGACTGTCATAAACATTTATACTTTACCTTTAAGAATTGCTGAAGCCCATAACTGAACATGAACGTCCGGTATTTTACTTGCAAGTTGCATCGCTGGAGTTACCATATTCATACTTTCTCTGCTGTTGCCTAAAGACAGAAATATATGACCGAGAAGAACAAGTGAACACGATGTTAACCGATTTAAGTCTTCAGCATTGGCCATCTTCAGGGTTTCTCGCAGGTATCTCCTGAAAAAATTGCAATTACACATTATTTGAACAATTTCAAAAAATAGGATAAAGCAAAACAATAAAAGGAAACAAATATATTAAGGTAAGTGCCTAAATGGGGGAATATATAGTAAGAACCAACTAGGATGAACCAGGAATGAGACTGAGGTGTTGAGGTATGTGTAGGACCATATACTATTGCAAAAAAATTGTAATTCAATCTGAACTTACTTGGCTTCGTTGTACCGTCCTTGAAAGAATGCTTGCAGGCCTTGTACATAATAGGCAGCAGCCCTAAGACTGTGCGAATGGGACGGTAAACTTTCTGGGTTGATTCTTTCGTGTAACGCGTTGAAATCTGCTTCCCTTTTACCTCTCAAGTATACGATAGCGAGGTTTAAGTTGGCAAAAGTCCATAATTCCCTCTCTCTAGACGTCTGAAATAAAAAAAACTGATCTATTGATTGAATCGAAAGATTTTTATTTTCGTTCAAATAATCCAATAAAATTTATAAAAATTTATTAATAATTTACAATAATTTTCTTTGCAAAATTTAGTTTGTCACTCTTTCATTCATGCTACCGCTAGCTCCAATTTTTTGTTAAATTCATACTGTTGAACTATTCGTAATAATTTAAAACGCTTGGAGTTCGTACTTTCCGTGACATTTACTTTACTTTATTTGTAAGATTGGTTGAAATGGTTGTTTCAGAAAATTGTGGTGATGTATCAGTTTTATTAGAATTTTCTGCAGTTGTATATAATGGAAAGAAGCTGATACATTGGAATATATTGCTTCCGAAGTTTGTGAAAACGGTATTGCCGCTCAATGAGGTTGATTGAAAGTGTTGCTATGGGTAGGAGTATTAGTAATTTCTTTGTCATTGAGATTTGTAGGTGTAGGTGATATGCTCGGATTTGATAATGGATAACTTGATGACTGCTGGGTGTTTGGTACCTTGTGTGGTATACTTGTTGAAGCTGTTTGATTTGGTACTTCATTGTTTGACTCAATATGAGTTGATTCCGTTACTGAACTGTTATTGTATTGGAATGATATGTGTCCTGTATTTTTGCAAATAAAGCAGGTGAGCATACCTTGTGACAAAAATATGCGGTAAGGTGTTTGGTCGAAATTTATTAGAATAGAATCTGGTATTGGTGATGTTATAGGGCTTATATAAACTTGCCTCCGAAAGCTCAATATGTGACTATATTCGGGAAGAGTGAGCTAATTTTCAGAAATGATATTGGGGAAATAAGCTTTAAACCGATATTCTGTAATTCTTCAACTAATACTTGATGAGGAATTGACGGGCAGACTCCAGACAAGACTAGTCTTTGTGCTGGAGAGACAAGTCTTCGTGCTGTTACAACTTCGCCGAGTACTTCTATAGAGCCATGTTGTGTCATGAAGTTATCTACTACGGTTTTGTTTGCCAAATACATGCTGATTCTATTAAATCTCCTTAAATCCACAATTAAATCGAGAAATTGAAAAATAAAACTCTACAAAACAACAATATGCCCAGTCTAACATATGGTTCAGGCACCTGGACTCTAAGAAAAAATAATGAAAACATGTTAGGATGTATCGAAAGAAGAAAGAAAAGTACTAAAGAGCAGTGAATGACAATGTAGTGTGAAGAACTTCGAACTTTATAGAATATACCAGGAATACGATATCGTAAAACTATTAAGATAGGACGTCTGAGGTGGATAGGGCATGTAATGCGGATGGAACAAAATTACCCAGCTAGAAAAACGCTCCTTGATAGACCCATTGGTCAGAGAAGAAGAGGAAGAACCAAAATAAGGTTCCTTGATCACATCGATAAAGACATGAGAAATAAGGGAATACATGCTTGGAGGAGAAAGGCAAGAAAAGCAGAGTTGTAAAGGCAGAATGGCACTGTTTTTGTAATTTTTTTGCATTTTCATTTGAGACATCACTTGCATGCCTCACCGGTCTAAGGAAAGTTTCTGATTAATTTATTGACGAGTAAATGGATGAACTGCCTTCAGTTGCCTTCAGAAGTTTCAGCATAAAGTTGCCACTGAATTCCATGTCAGTGGCAACTTTATGCTGAAACGATAATACAACTTCCTCAACAATAAAAACACAAACTCTGCCAAAGAAACATGTATGTTGACAAAGGTGTGTCCAAGCAAGATTTAAAGCCAAAATTTTGCTTTCAAGATAATTGTCACTGGTAGAAACAGTAACCTGACTATTAGAAAGTTACTCTTGTGTACTTGACACTTGACCTATACTTTACAAATTAAAATATGAAGAATACAAAAGGAAATTGTATGGATATTTAAAATTTGTAAATTATATGTAAAGAAAATAATGTGATAATAATAAATGCAGGTAGTATTTGTTCATAAAAATACAGCAAATTGTAAAACATGTTATAAATCGATAACAGCGTTGTAATAAACAAATTGTTTTATTCCATAAATTATAATGTTTACTTACATTTAAAGCAGCAATAAATTGAGCCTCAGCCGCTTCCATACAGTTCATACTCATAGAATAAAGACCCAGCAAGGTGTGCAACTGTGGGCCGTGAGTTTCTAATAATTTAGGACACTGTTTACACAAAGTTGCTGCAGATGATATTTCTTGTAGTGCTTGTGTTTTATTGCCCATCACCAATCTGCACATGATTATATGTTCCAGGAGCATTAATTGAAATACTGATAAGATTGGCTTGTTATCTACAACTTGAGAGAAAATTTGCGCATTAAAATTGGTGAAAACAACTTAGTAAGTTACACAAAAATTTTAAAAGTGTGCTATAACTAAGACATTGTATTTTTCTTCGAGAACTAAAATAAACATTAACTTTAAAATCCATAACATATAAGGATAGTATCCATTTGAACAATTATGATAGCCCTAATACATCTGAGAACCTTTTTTGACTTAACTTACTTTTTAGTTTTTCGATCTGCATTAAAGCTTTGTCAGTGTATTTCTGAGCTTTTTCCATATATCCTGCTTGCATGCTGTGCATCACTGTAACCAAATAAACAAGAACATATAAATGTTCTTTTGGCATCCATAGAAACATATCTCCGGCACTAGGTCCCATAAATACTAAAAATATTAAACTGAATAATAAAGAAACTGTATTTTATTTTATGACTGTGAGTATCAGGAATTATATAAAAGCTGTAATTGTTTGAATAATCTTTAAGATCTGAAAAGTACAAGACAGAGAAAAAATTTTGATACAAGGGTAAATTCTTCATAACTCAATACTTAGCAATGAATTAGAATAAGCTATTTATAATTGTAAAAAATATGATAACTCATTACTAGAGACTGGATTATATGCAAAATGCATGTGCATATAAATATACAGCATATTTGTGGGTTTCTTTATAAATGCATATGCTATTCATATTTACTTGATTAAGAGCATATTGCCACATATTTGAAAATATCACATAAATAAAAGGTTTTCTATACATATTTAGATAATAGTTTCTTGGAATTATTCATAGCAGGTACTAGGTAAGGTAACTACGAAATAATTTTATTACAAATATCTACTAAATCTACAAGTTTTTTTGTTTGGGAAAATCCATCTGGGAATTATTTATCAGAAGAATAGGGCCAACATGCAGGTGGGTACTATACAGTAAATTCGTTTTTAAATTCTCTTTACCAGCTGGCAAAGCAACTTGTGATTGTGAATATTGTGCTTATAAAATAGAAATAATTACTTTTTTGAAAATATGCCGATAGTAGCGAAACAAAAATCAAGTCTATTGCGGAGTTGGGTTAGTGGCAACAGTGAAATGAAGATTATAGACAATGAAAGTGTTTTCTGTACTATTTGTGATAAAAAGGTGAGTCCACTTATATTTTAACGATTCAAAAATTTAATTTAAAATCTCATTTTTGCAAGAAAATCGGTATACCTATACTAAACATGTAACAGTTTGACTATTGGCGGTAGTTTTAGTTTCGAGAAAAAAAATATAAGTTATCTTAAAAATTTGAAGTCCATATTATTGCACTAGACTCCTATTTACTAAAACGTTTTATTACATAAAACGTTTTCCTCATATAAGCACATATTAACGGATAGAAGGCATAACATTACTCTTGAAAATATTGAACATTTTATTATTTTATACTGCAAGAATGAGGATATTTTCTTGTGAATTTTCACTTATATTTTTTTATTAGATGTAGTAATAAATAAACACTCTCTAAGTATTACTATAATTTTATTTCTCACCAAATCTCAAGCCCATTAAAAAAAAATATATTTTTTTAAAGTGAATATATAAATGCATATTGCATATAATAAAGGCAAATTTGGTTACTTTTTAAGTGCATGTTGCATGCATATTTTAACCATTTTTTAGAGCATATAATCCAGTCTCTACTCATTACATACCGTACTGAAGAAAATAATAGACCAAAATTTTAGAAAAATAAGTAAGAAAGACATAAAATATTGAAACAAAAACTAAGAAATGTTCACAAATAATCAAAAATTTGTATTGAATAAACAATCTATAAAAACGCATATTAGAAAGCAATATAAATGCACAGGAACAGACCAAATTTTGATTTGTTCTAGAAAACAAGCAACAAAAGTGGATGTGCTAGACTGCAACTATAAAAGAAGAGTTGTAAATAAAAATTTGGATAAGAAAGAAATTAAAAATGTATAAATTAATGATAAAAATAGAGACAAGCAATTCAAACAATTAAACAAAAAGTTTAAAGCAAGTGAATGATGCTGTGAGGGATCAAAGTAGTCAGGTGAGCAGGCTAAGTGGAAACAATGCCACAATCAGAAGATCTCATCTTTGCTGGATCAACGGCGTTGAAGAAGATTTGAGGAGTCAGCAGATGGAGATTAGTATCCCAATTCAAAGATCAATTTCTCAAAGCATTTTCAAACTCAGTGAATAGACTATAATTACAACTATCTTGTTTATTACTATAAAAATATAGTGACCAATAGAAAATGAAGATTAATGATGAATTTGGAAGTTAAAAAGAAATATTTTATATCATTCCCACGAGAACTATATCTCAGTTGTTATTTACAATTTATATGATCTAAAAATTTCTAATACACTTGTTAAAAATTATTACAACTAATACTAACCGTCATCAGTAGCCATTATGGTTTGAATACTCTGCTGTAATTGTTTTAGACAAGGTTTAACACTTTTGACTTGTCCAGCCATTAAGTAAAGACAGACCTAAAAAATCACAAAATATGGCTGTGTAATACCTTATCTGATGATTGCCAACCTCCGTCGCGGAGATGGCACGTGAAGAAGAAGAAGAAGAATACCTTATCTAATAATAAATACTTTCTACTAACTTCTCACATATCTCTTTTTATTATTAGTTACCTGTAAAACCAAATAGTAGACTTTAACATATTCCTTCTGGTATACAGCCCCTGTCCACGTCTCTATTAAATGTCCTGCTTGGTTTAATACCTGTTGGACTTCTTGTAGCTTTTTATCTATTAATAGTAACTGCAAATTTAAAAGATATTGTACTTGATGTATACATGTTTAGCTGCAGAAATACAAACTTACCATTCCTTTACTTAAGAGAAATAGGACTCTTGTGTACGAAGCATTTGAAATATGAGCATAGTCTACTCCAACACCCAGTAAACTGCTGGCTAAAGTGTAGTCCTTCTCAGTTGCATGGATTTGCTACAAAATTGCCAATATTAACTGCACACAATAATGGTTTTTATTTGAAAATTATAGATTCGAAAAAAATATACAAAACAGTGGCAGATTTTGATATTTACATTAATGGGTCACAAAAACTAAACCAAATTTTTTTTAATACAAATTTGATACCATCTAAATAATGATACCTAGGCAATATAACATCATTTTCAAATATAAGCAAGAGAAAATTTGAACATTGTATTTCCTTTCTAGATTTAAAGTAAAATAAATTAATAATTAAAGAAAAAACCTTAAATGAAATATAACTTTAATTTAAACTATTTATACAGTGAACAGCTAAATTATGGATGATCATTATTTCAAGAACCATCGAGTTTTGAGGGAAATCCCGAAACAAGTCGATTTTTGTTATAAAATACCCATCTTTAACGTACATGGAGTAAGGATGACGTCACCGGTGTAGGTGTAGTGACGTAATCGTTAATTTTTTTAAATAGAAATCGGTATAATGCGACACCTCATTTAAACGAGAATTAATTTCTCTATTTAACTAAAATATTTTTTAAGGGTACAAAAACAATTGTTTTTAATTCAAATTCAACTAAATTACAACTAATGATTTAATTCATAATGTACTTTAAAGTAACCAAATTATACTTAACAATAATTTTAAATTAACTGTTCGAAATGCCATCCATTGGTTCCTTACACGACTTTCTGAAGTAAATACTTAAAAAAGCAAAAATAAGTAAAAATAATAATGGACACAAAAAGTTATCTCATAAACACTGAAACTTTTTATCAAATGTTAATTCAAGCAAGTGATAGTGGCATAGTTACTGTAATATTTATTGACGTAAATGTTTTGATTTTGTGAATTGTCATCAGTTGTCAATTGTAATTTTTAATTTTGAATACTAAATTATGGCTCACCTAAATGAAACACAACACATAGAAATATTAATTCTTAGCGGATGCGGAGATAAAAAAGAACACAGAATGAGGTATGCAATTTATTCAATGCAAAATATCCAGACAGGCCCATCAGCCAATCAACAGTAAGTAAAATAGTCCGAAAATTTGGAGAAACTGGGCACATTAAAAATATTGCAAACGCTGGGCGTCCTAAAATTGAAGACAATGGGAAATTTGATATTTTATTAAATGTACATGACAATCCTCATAGTACTTCAACACAAATGGGTGAATATGCTAGAGTTTCCCAACGATCGGTATTACATATTTTAAAAAAAGAAAAATACCATCCCTACAAAATTCAACTACATCAGGAATTAAACGACGACGATCCCGATCGCCGACTTCAATTTTCTGAAATTATGCAGGATTTATGTATCTGCAATCCATATTTCATCAATCAAATCCTTTTTTCCGATGAAGCCAATTGCAGATATTGGAGTCAAGAAAACCCACATTGGATGACTGAGTCACACACGCAATATCCTATGCGTGTATGGGCTTAAATGTATGGGCAGGAATCATTAATGACAGAATCATTAGCCCTTTTTTCTTTGAAGAAAATCTAACAGATAAAGTTTTTTAACTTTTCGAGAAATCAACTTATACCTGTCCTTACTAACATGTATCCAAATGCCAATAATCCAAATTTACCTAGTGAAAATATCTGGTTTCAACAAGATGGAGCTCCTTCGCATTACACACGTGAAGTACGACAATTTTTAAATCATTGCTTTCCCAGGAGGTGGATCGGAAGACAAGGTTTTATAGATTGGCCAGCAAGGTCGCCAGATCTAACACCTCTAGACTTTTTCCTGTGAGATACATAAAATCAAAAGTTTATGTCAATAGACCCAAAACTTACAGGACTTGAAAGATAAAATTAGGCATGAAATGAGTCTAATTACTCCAGAAGTCATCCGCAATGTACTTGATGAATGTGTCCGTAGATTAGCATATTGTCAAGAAACTGATTGTAATTTAGTTGAATTTAAATTAAAAACAATTGTTTTTGTACCCTTAAAAAATATTTTAGTTAAAAATGTAATGTTAAATAGAGAATTAAATTCTCGTTTAAATGAGGTGTCGCACTATACCGATTTCTATTAAAAAATTAATGATTACGTCACTACACCTACACAGGTGAAGGCATCCCTACTCCATGTATGTTACAAGATGGGTATTTTATAACAAAAATTGACCTGTTTCAGGATGTCCCTCAAAACTCGACGGTTCTGGAAATAATAATGATAATATTCCATAATTTAGCATTTCACTGTATAAATGTAAATGCTGCAAAATAGGTTAAAAAGGTTGAATCTATATAATCATAATGCTGATAGTCATATTGAGTTTTAAAGAAACTGGTTATTATACTTACCGCAAGTTGAAAAATTAGTCTACAATGCCAGTACACATTATGTTGAGACAACTCTATAGCTTTTCTCAAGATTGGTTTGGATAAAGAAATCTGATCCTGTTGTTCATATAACTCAGCCAAAACACTAGCAGCTTCAAATTTGACATCATCAAATGAGTTAATTGCTTGAGAGAGCAACCACTGAAATATTAAATAAGTAAAGTATTTTATTGGTAAAGTTAGGCTAAAATTTTATATAAGTGCTTATTATAGATGCACTATAGATTCTTTTATCTGGGTATTAAACATGTTTTTCTCTTTCACATAGTATATTCCACATAATAGAATCTTTGCCTCGATACTTCCAAATATTTACATTGAATTTTTTTTAACATCATACATAATTTATTTTAGATCCTAATATACCATCTAATTGTAGCTTTGTTGTTGTTCATTTAATTGAACTTACACATTACTCATATCACTGAGCCTGAGAGCAACATGTACACATCTCATAATGTTATGAACTTTTTCTATTTATAGATTGAGAATCCCATGAGCAAATTTGTTAACTAGTGCAAAAATATAGCATGAAGTGTATTATTAATATAAAATATAGTTAGATTTAACGAACAACTACTGTTGGTATAGGTAGGAATGTTATCAGAATATATATAGTGGATTTATCATATTCACAACTGAAAATGGGCTACTCTAGATCTAGAGAAGTTACACTTACTGCTTGCTCTAAATGGTTCTTAGCTAGGTCTATGTTCTTTGTATGAGTTAAAAGGATATTTCCGAGTTGTAAATGCGTTCTTGCTTCGACTCTCTGAGGTGGTTTAAAATTAAAAACAGCCTGTAGACACTGAATACATGTCTTTATCATTGGGGGACTGGAAGTCCTGAAATATTCGGCTAAACCTAGAAGAGACAGATACCAGGCATCTTGAGAAGAGGCCATTGTATCCTTAATACTTAAAATCCATTTATCCTAATTAGTTATTTAATAAAGAGTCTAAATTAAAATCGAAATAAACCGGATTTTTTTGTTTACATGTTAATCTGCAGTTTTGGTTTATTTTTTGTGTTGGTATGTTGGTAATACAACTGATGACAGATTACTGTGTTACTGTTTTAAGTTTAGTTCAGAGATATGTAAGGTTTAGTTAGTTTCTATTCATATTGTAAATAATATTTTGATAAAAATCAGCAAGTTCGATAAAAACCGATAAATTGTTCCTTTGTAAAGTCTATAAATACATAACTATAAATATTTGCTTTCAAATAGTTTACATAACATCCGTTATCGATAAGTGCCTGTGATACCTATTAAACTAAGATATTGACATTTCCGTCATCGCAAATTTTATGATTTGTCAAAAATAATGTAAATAAAAACAATCATTATATATATCTTTTAACTCAAATTTCAAATGATTGAATGTGAGTCAGGAGAAATAATGTCAGAAGAAATTGATTATTCTAGAGATAGATTTCCATTTTGTATCGTGTGGACTCCAATTCCCCTGTTGACATGGTTATGTCCTATGATAGGACATATGGGAATTGCCCTATCTTCTGGTGTTATACGAGACTTTGCGGGCCCCTATTATGTTTCTGAAGATAACATGGCATTTGGAAGACCTACAAAATTTTGGCAACTCAAACCGACACTAGTGAAAGGAGGTGTCAGGTAATAGGTATTATTAGTAAACTGCAGGGATCTCATTTGAAAAGGGGCTTATTTAATTGATAGATATGAGGCAGCAAGGTTTCCTATGAGAAGATTCATTAATGAGTCTAAAATTATGTATGAAGAAGAATCTTATGATGTGTGGGCCACAAATATAGTTAATGATTTAATGCATCATCATTGATTTTTACTATATTATTTCTCTGTTTGTAGTGTGTCATTTGGAACTATTTCTGCAATGGTTTACAAATTTAGTTCAGTTAGCTAAGTGAATTTTTAAATCTAGAACCTTGTTTTAAAAGTTGATGATTTAAAAAACAGTGTGTTTTGTCTGAAATATTTATTATTTTGAAAAATTATATTAACCTGTTGTCTTCTTGTGTTTAACAGTAGGTATTATTGCCTTAAAAATACTGGTTGTAGACCATAATGCTGGAAGTCATTTTTCTTGACTTGGTTTTGCATATTCACTTCATTCTTATGATATAATTTTTCCATTGATACAGATAGGGCACATAAATAGCATCATTGCTGGGCTATAGATATATGCTTCAAATCTTTATAAAGTTGTTATGTATTGTTGGAGCTACCTGATTTGCTTTAGACAAAAAGGAATTGCTGTACATAGCATTACTTAATAAACTGAGATTCATATTTTCTGTTTTGTAGTTCCTGGGATGCAGCAGTGACAGAAGCATCAGATATCTACAAAGGGAGGATGCATAACTTGTGCTGTGATAATTGCCATTCCCATGTTGCTACAGCTTTAAATCTCATGCAGTATGATAACTCATCCAGTTGGAATATGGTGAAATTGGCATTTTTGATGCTAATACATGGAAAGTATGTTTCAGTTGCAGGTTTTTTGAAAACTTGGGTTCCATTTCTACTCATTGTTACAATAATTTTAGTTACTTATTCTTTATCAGTAGGTATATAAATGAGATATTTAAAGACTTTATTTGTTTTATTATTTATGAAAGTAAACAAAATACATCTTATACAAATATTTTAGAAACATTTTAATGAATAAATTACTGAAGATATCCAAACATTCATTCAGACATTTGCCTTGAACCATCTGAAATAAAAAAGTATATTTTCTCTATTTAACCTGAAGATTCAGGGATAAAATTAATAATAATATTTAAACCATAACAATGTTGGACCTAGCAGAAAAAAATGTTGTATTAAACATGGCAAAACTACTGATTTTATATAGTGCCATTGAAATTATTGGTAAGGATGTTGTGAATTGACTTTTAGTATAGAAAATGACAACACAAGAAGGAAAATTATTCAAATATTAGTTCTTTTATAGATGTAAAAGTAAATTGCAAGTGATAGTATTCAATTCCAGAAGAACAAGGTGAATTATCAACCTCACACAATTTTATTATTAAATTTGAGATTTGGTATAGGTCCTAGTAGGTCAGAATTAACTTTTTGTGACCATGATAGAAAGGTAAAGCAACCGATATTATCTTACTATGGACTGTCCTTTTAAGCTGCTAATTCAGTCAAAAATACTTGTATTGATAAAGCTCCTGGCTGTTCCATATACAATTTTACCATTTTTCCATGGACTATACTACATAGTGTTCTACAATTGCTTATTTGTAATCCAGTGAGAAACATTAAAAACTTTTTTATTTCAATGGTTGAAGAAATTAAATTGAGATCTTCTTCATCGTCATCTGTGGTAGCAGGAATTTGGCCAACTAAAAAATAAACAAAGCTCAATAAATAAACACTAGTACCAAACTCATCAAAATAAACAGTTTGAGGAACTGAAGATTGTGTACCATAGACCAAGAGAGTGAAAAAAACTTGATGTAAAGTTATTGCTAAATAAGTGATAAAAGAGAGTTAAAATCATGGTAAATACAAGAAATGCTTAATTTATGTGATTTCCTTACCTGCAAAGCTCTGAACACTTAAATCTGTAAAATGGGCTGCAACATTAACTACATTGGTCTTAATTTGGAATGTTAGCCTACCATTTTTATTAGCACTAACAATAAGGCTATGACTCATGTTTCTCATCCTCTCTACTATGTTTTTAAGTGCTTTTAAATTTGGCATTTGTATAGAAACCTAAAAATAACAATACTTAAATGCATATAATGTAGCATGATTTGTCAGGATAGACAGATCGGTTCTAATCTGTATAAAAACTGCACTAAGTAGATTTTCATAGACAATATTCAGTTGAGAAAGAACAGATGACTAAAAAATTAACACCAGAATGATAAAAGCCAAAAAGACTAAGGATACCTTAAAATAATTCCCTGGAACAAAAATATAACACAGAAGAGAAGATTTAATATTAATAAAACTCTGGTAAAAATTATGGTATTAGACAGATTTAAAATGTGGCAATAACAGAGAGGAGCCAAAGAAAGATAGAAGCCACGGAAATGGTTGTAATAAGGCAAAGCTAAGGATTTCGAGAAGGGAGAAGATAAGAAATTAAAAAATCAGGGAATGCATGGGAGTAGAAGATTCAATAATAAAACAGCAAATATGGTATAGGCATGTACAGTGAATGAAAAACAATACTCCCGAAAAAAGTACTTGCAGGAACACCTACAAAAACCTACCTAAAAAAACCAAAATAGAAAAAGTAAAAAAATCAATGAGCTCCAAAGAAATTAGGGAAGGAGATTGGAGCAACTGAAATGAATGGAAATTGGGCATTGGACAATGTCAAAAGACATTCTAACCATTTATACTTATAAATAATTGAGATTTTAATTGAATTTATTATTTTGAAATATTTTTATCTAAAAATTTGATATTGATTAACTTACATGAAAATCATTAAACCTGGGTTCCTCATAATCACTCCAATGTTTTCTTGAAATCACTTCTACTGGTATGTCATGAACAAGTTGGCTGGAAATTTCTTCAGCGACCTAAAATGAGTAACTCATATTTTATCTTATTTTTACTGATGTACTTCGGGTGCAATTAAAAAGTTCCAGGACTGATATTCAAAAACTACATTTAACATTATTTCATTCAATATACTCCTCTGGCAATACATAAACTGTATTGTCTGACTAACATATCTTATTGTCTGACTGACATATCTTATTGTCTGACTAACAGCTGATTCATCATCTCTTGTGACTACTCTTTCCCAATCCAGATGTGTAACACCATAGAGCCCATGGTATGCATGGAACAGGAAGAAATGTGTTACCTAGGCAATATCAGAAAAATCTGGTGGATTATGGCACGATATGGGCACACTGCACATGCTTACCGAGCTGCTGTGTCATACAGCATTTCATACCAAGTCTTTGGATTAAAATGAACAAGATACAAAAAAGTGTTGAGGAAAAAAAGTAGGCCTAAGAGAGGAACTTTCTGTCTCTATGGTTTGTGATGTCATCTTTATACAGCAATCCTGGTAATATCAAGGCCAAATAAATGGTCCATATGTTGTGGACTAAGAGTTTATATATAACATCTGCTGAGGATTTGTAGGATAGTTAATGGAAAATTTACAATAAGCCAATTGGCTGTAGTATGACCAGTGGTGTAGGCTTCCAAAGAATAAAACATACAAACTTCCCTGAAGTCTTTCCTAGTGGTGAAATATACTGAGAATAATTCTTGTGAAATGCTATTTAGCTCACAGACCCTAGTTAAATATAACTATCCTGGTAGATATTAACTGAATATGTGGGTTATTTTAATAACATATTTATTTTATTTCAAGAATTCTGAATTCCTTTGCAAGTTTTCTTTAATATTTTCAATAAAGTCGCACCTTTTCTCTTTTAAATATCTCTGAAATGTCCAAAGAGGCTAAACAGGGTCAGTAGGTAGTTGAGGGATAATAGCCATACCTTTTTTATGCCTAAATTTTGAATGAGCAACACAGAATAAACTGCTACATTGTTATGAAACAGCACCACTCCACATTTCACCACAATTCCAGCCTCCTCCTTGGCACAACCTCAAACAAATTCCTCAATGCTTGATGCTAAAGAGAATGATAGTCTCACCTTTAATCTTGTCTCACGTTAAATATCATCTGCCTTATTTCTGTTGTGTTGGAAAGATTCTTAACATCTATGGGGAATATTGGACTTTTGTTTACATATTCTCTTTGGATAGGTTTCCAAAAAGTTTTCATCACTATATATTATTTTAAGAAATTACTGACACATCTAAGCTAGGTACTGTTCATGCCCAATGCAGACACAAATTTTTGGATTAAAATTTCTTGGTACAAACCAACTAAAATTTTGCATTCCTTGATAAATATGATCTTGCTTTAAACAATGATTTGGCCTCATGTAACTTCACTCTTTTACTATGTAATTCTCAAACACCTCTTACAATGTTCAAGAAAAAATAGAAGTCTTAGATAAAAAGAGTTGTGATTTGGTGAAAGTAAAAGCATCTGAGCATCCAAAAAATATTCCTGTTGCGATATTGCTGTGCAACTCAAAATCTTAACTAGAACTTAATAACCAGTCCTCTTTGTATTACTTACCAAATCCATTTCCAAGGTAAGACATGGAGATTGTTTATTTGTTAGCTTGATTTTGAGTGTTTTAACTATTTGCTTTAAAATTGAAAGAGAACGAGCCAACAAACCTAAAAAGTACTACAATCAGCATAATATATAGGCAAATCTTTAGCAATTAATAAAATTTTGAAGTATATATTGAACATTTTTTCAAAAACCATGTCTAAACAGCTATAAGAATGTGAACAGAACAATTGTTTATTTATTGTAAATAATTTATTGAGGCAGTGACTACAGTATGTTATCGAATATATGGCATTAATTTAGTGATTTAGTATCTGAAATTCAAATTTAGCTGTAGTACTACTTGTCATTCGAGCAAAACTGCCTGAATGTACTGTTCAAATAGCACCATACAAAATTTTCTAAAAATTCATTTAAATAATACATTCGGGTAAAATTCATACCAGCAACAATATACAGTATGTCATTTATAGTTGTCTTCAAATTCTTCAGTATTGTTTTAGCTTCCGATTTGTTTACTCATCAGTAAAGTTTGTAGTTTGTTTATCTACATGTATATAACTTGCAGGAAAGTGCCCTATAACAATTTTCCTTATGTTACATAATTTTTACAAACATTATTTGTGAGATTCAGAAGCTGTTTGTTTTGCCAGGTTTTAGTGTTAACAACTATTATGTAGTCAGAACCTATGGTTTTATGTGACATCCAAAGCCCTTAAATTTGAAATTGAAAATTTTCTGTCGGATCAAACCAGTCCTATACAACACTTGGCTATGGTCACTTAATATTAATATATTAAAAAATTACATGAACAATATTTCCTGGACCATTGCTGACAAAATTCATCTGATTCATTGTATCAAAATACCATATCGGCTAAGCATTTTCCTCTGTTTTGACCTACAAACTGCCACAATATATTATTTTCATTGATAAACTGGTATCTACATATTTAGCTTATATTTTTAATTTTGTGCAGTTTAGAATTGTTCGAATATGAATATGTTTAACTACAGATTGAATAATTATTGAAAGATAATATACCTGTTGAAAACTCTAAGTAAATTTCATTATATTGGTCATTAACACCAACAACATTATACTCTTTGAAATAAAAATTTACAGGTAATTCACACCACACCAAAGGTCGTCGAGGTCCTGATTCCTCTTCAGATATTATATAATATACTTTTCTTGTTGTTATCCTCATTATGCATTCTTTAGAGAATTTAGATAGACTTAAAGAAATATCTACAAAAAAATGTTGTTTTAATGTATTTTTATATCGTTAATTTTAATGATTTACTCATGAAATCTCGCATAGCTAGGCCATCGGTAATTACTGCCCTAAACTTCATTTTTAATGATTTGTACTTAATTCTTTATTTTAAAAATTAACTTTATACATAAATCTATCATACCATGATTTGAAATCGGCTTTTCGCTCTTTGTATACCTGGAATGACATTGACGTTTGACGTATAGAAAACAAGTGTCAAAATATAAAATGCTATGGTCACAGAAATATACTTCATTGGTCACAGATAACTAAATGTCACATAAAGTTGAGTTCAATGATGTATAATAGTCAAGGCACGTTTTTATTGGGCACCCTTCAGTTTGGTGGCACTGCTAGTCTTATTTCTACGCCTTGTTCGTTGTCACCACAGTATAAATCAGGGTATAGGATCAAATCTGGCTACGTCCATCGTGCATGATTTGACAGGAAGTAAAAAAACACTCTCACTTTTGATGGCAGCAACTAAAATTTGAGAATTACTGTTAAAACAATGAAAGAAAAGTCACTCTTTATATTGGTATTACATTCAGCATACTACAAGAGCAGGAAATACTCTGAATTGATAGAAACTATTGGACGTAACCTGTTTTGATCCCAAGCGATGCACATAGCCATGTTTGATACCAACTTCACAGGACTTGACCAAGTTTGATTCCAACTGATTCCAACCTAATCTCACCGGCCGGACTCAGTACAATGTGTCAAAATACTGCGTATCATGAACATTATTTTTATGAGGTTTCCTCGCGCCTTGTATCATGTACCACTAGCATCACGTGTCACTCTTCAGCTGGTCAACTATTTATGTACAAAAATTAGGTTTTTTTTTATTTATTTGTTTAGGTATGTATATTTCTTACAGGCTAACAGTATAAAGCAACACAACTATAGTTAAAAGATAAAACTAAAAAAAATCTCTAACATATTTGTTTCAGTACAAATCATCACTTTAACATTATTATATCAACAAAAGCGGTGTTTCTTCTCTTGGTTCACATTCCAATTCTTCATTGTCATTTTCATTCTCAGCCAGAGTTTCATTAATGTTTATCACATCTGAATAGAAACTTAATTGTTCCAGGCCTTGCCAGTCGTCTCCAAAATGTTTTGATAGCAGATTTTTAACGTCCCTTACTTTTAATGCCTTTACAGGTATGTATTGTATTATTTTTTTAGGAGCGATCATACTCATAATTTTAGATCTCCGACAAACATTTTCATATTTTCCTGATTGATTCCTGTAAAATCTCTCCGACTGAACCAACACATTTCCGATCCGCTTCGATCGTTTTAAATAGAATCTTTTACACTGCGCAAACTGTACTTTCCACTGTCCGGGGGGTTTCAGTATTGTTTCAGCTTCCTTTTTGAAATCATATACAATGAAATCTTCGCCTACTTTTACAATAGTTGCCTGCTGTGAAATGATATCGATGTACTGATTCGGGCTTAGTATTGTGTCCATTTTACGAAATTCCTTTTCACTGTTTCCGAACACTCTATCTGCTGGAAGATAGGAATGGCCAGTTACTGGAAACACCAGTTCTACTGTTTTAATAGAAGGATGTTCCAACAACCATTTGCAACACATTGTGATTATGGTGGAATTTTTATTCTGACCTCCGCAGCCGTCTGAGATCAGTCTAATGGTAGTTATATTGGTAAGATCCATCTTGTTTAGGTGGTTATACACTGCAGATGCTATTGTATTAGAATTTTTTGAGAAAGTGTTCTCTGTCCAGACATTTGCGAAAACGTTGTTTTTATTAAGTGGTGTCTTTGAAGTTCCTTCCACAATGGTGAAATTAAAAAGATATAATTGCCTGCTATAATAACACGATTGATCTGGTACTTTAGGAAGATTCATGTTTTTTTGGCAATCATAAGAAATTATTTTCAAACCCTCTTCTTCTGTCTTGAGCAGCGAATAGAAAGCTTTTGCCCTCAAGCTATGAACTCTTTTTTCTACTCTGAACTGTTCCTTTTTCCTTTCATCTTTCTCTGTTTTTATTTTTTCTAGTAGCTGCAGACATGTTGAGCACATATCTGTATTCGGACTGCCAAATCCTAAATTGTATTTGGTGTTGAAAATATGTCTGAAGTAAGATTCTTTTGCCGGTGCTGAACATTCATTTTTGTACAGTTTGTACAGTTTTCGGATATTTAGATCACTTGGCAAATATTTCCGGATTGAACTTTGGCTTCGACAATAATGTGGTTCAGAACACTGAAGTTTGTGAATAAATGCACGTACTGATGCCTTTTTATCCTTGAATAGGTTGGCTTTACGGTCTCCTCCTCTTTTTTCTCCTGGAAACTCTCCACTGACGAAAGACTTTTGAACCAAATTTGAGACACGTCCTTTTTTCAAGCATAGCGCTGCTAAAAACATCTTCTGACAAACACTAATAGATTGTTTATCGACTTTAATATGGTATTTTATGGTGCACTGTTTGGTTGCTTTTAGGGAAGTCTGATCTCCAGTCGCAGGATCCAATCTTAAGGTCCTTGGTCGTGTTCTCTTAATCGGTACTGCTTGACAGCATTTCAATATGATTGCATCTTGATCCGATTTGACAGGATTCTTATAAAATGCCGTATGAAATTGTCGTAATATTTTACCCGTCACTTTAATGCACTCAAAGAGTTTGGTTTTATGTTCACAACGTGGTACTGTTGGCAAACTCTTTGCGGAATACCTAAAACAAAAAGTATAAAAGATACAAAATTGTTTTTAGCCCCATGGTAGCATTAGTCGCAAACTAAAAGAGCTTATCCAAACATCCAACGATATTAGTCATATATTATTCTAGTGATGGGGTTCTCAAATACCAAGAATCGACGAGTATTCGATTCCTGAAAGTTCTCAAGATATCTCGAACACTTAAATCAAACAAAGTATTAGAATACTGACTGGGGAAGCCGTCGCTATAATATTATTAAGGTATTCGGTCTCGGTGTCCTGGTACTCTGATGTCAGCAGCTATTTTTAAATGCGTTTGCCGATTATTACCAATATAAGCGGATATATAGAAATAGCTTTAGAACAATAATAAGCGGATAAGTTAGTTTTATAAACAAATCTTTTTCGAGGTCAAAGAATATAATAAACTAACGTAATGAATATTTTTTGGGATACAAAAAAAAACGCAATACAACTGCACAACTGATACTAATTTTTTTAATAGGATTCCTCATTCAACAAAGAAAATGTGCTTATTCTCAAGATTATCAAATTCAGAAAATATCACATTTCTGTAAACACATTTCAGTGAGTGTGAGAGCCATTAACGAATGTAAACATTACACAAATCAGGAATTATTGATGAATTTAAAACAGTATTTATTTTTTAATCAACTTTAAAAGCGAATAAGTTTCTTGGTTCTCGATAATTCAGGAACAAATCAGGAATCATTGATGAATATAAAACAGTATTTATTTTTAATCAGCATTAAAAGCGAATAGGGTTCTCGGTATTACTCGAAAAATTCTCCATTCTAAAGCCACGTATCCATTTCACGTGGCTGCCGCGCGCGGCCTAGCTCACGTTCAATAATTATAACAGTTATGCAAACGCTTTATAGCTTTGCCTCGCGTAACAGTGTGATGTCCACTTTCGGCGGTAACGACAACGAACATGACGCGCGTGGCAGCCTCGCGAAATGGATACGTGGCTTTAGAAATTATACCCATCACTAGATTATACAGTCGAACCCGCTTATTAGAAGAAGATTACTGGTTATTTAGGAATATCCTGGTTTAAGGAACAGAAATTTAAGGTCCCGAAACGATTCTACTAGCCACCAATGGTCAGTTGTTAGAAAATCCCGATTATAGGAATACTTTTGCTTGGCACGACGGCTATTTCAATATAGGGGTTCGACTATACCTAAATCTGACCTGCGGTACGGGCCTGGCAAAAGAACGAACTTACCTCTCTTTTTTCGCCTTGTTAGCCTTCCAGTTTTGTGGCTGTGCAATCCGTTTTCGTGCCTGGTTTTGATTAACGGGCATAGGAAAAACATCCATCTTGACAAAAAACTATAGATTTCACTTGAAATCACAGGAATTCTTATTTAAAATGCGAAAAACTGACACCGTAACAACACATAAATTATATTAGCGGCCATTACAGATTTGGTTCGAATGAAGAGCTCCTATTGGCTGGCGTGCGCGTAGCTATGTTTGATACTGAGTTTATGTGGACGTAACCAAGTTTGTTTCTAACCAATTTTTTTTAATCAAAATTTCTCTGGACTAAGCTAAATTTAATCCCAAACTATTTCTTTAGGTAATAGGCTGTCTCAAAATGAAAATGTTGCCATCAAAATGTCAATTTCTAAAAATTATGGACATAGCCATTTTTGATACTATACCCCTGAAATAATTTATATCAATATACTGTGGTTGTCACTTTTTGTTATATTAATAACTCGATGTATTAAAGTGATTAATATTAAACGTCGAAGTCTTCCTTCCCTGCAAAGAATAATACTCTTTTTTAAACATGATAATACACACCATATTTTTATTTGTTTTATTTTTTCATAAATAATGCTTCTTCTTCTTATAGTGCCGTGCACCTATAGTGCGTTAGCAAATTATCTTAGATAAGAGGGTTAGGTTAAGATGTCTGTCTTTTGCGACATGCAAAAGATCGCCAGTGTTATTTATGCCTGTTCAGTTTTTTATGTTCCGTAGCCACGACATTTGTTTGCGACCTACTCCTCTCTTGCCTTCAATCTTTCTCTGGATGATTAGTTGAGGGATTGCGTATTTTTTTCTTCTCAGAATATGGCCGAGGTATCCAATTTTTCGTACCTTGATCAAATTGAGTAGTTCTCTCTCAGTATTTGCCTTTCTTAAGACTTCCTCGTTTCTCACCCAATCTATCCATGGTATAAATAATGTAAAAAGGTACAATTTTAGACGATTTTTAATTATGGAATCAAACACATTACATGGAATAACATTGGGGATATGAAGAACTGACCAACAACGATGTTTTGTTCCAGATTATAGGGATACCACCACAGTATATTGGTAAATAATTCTTT